TGCGGGACTCGATCCCAGGACCCTGGGATCATGACCTGAGCCGAAGGCAGACGCTTAATCGACTGAGCCCCCCAGGCGCCCGTGTGTGTGTATGTATCTTACAAGAAAAATATGAAAGCACACACATACTGATGTGGGTCATGGGAGCAGCAAGGGATAAGCTGAGGCTCTCTCCCCGGAAGGCACCTCTCCTGCTTTCCGGACCACACCTTTCTCTTCCTCCTTCCGGTCCTCTCACCGATCACCCCAGGCTAGCGAAGGCCTGTCGACTCAGTCACGTTCCAGTACTCTTGCAGTACTCGAATTTGTACAGTACTTCCCGTTGCTATCACGTCCATGAACCGATAATCGTATGTTCGTTTTCTATCATTTGTTAACTGTTTCTACATGTTTACATCTGTCTCACGAGAGACCAAATCGGGCAGTGGTTGACGGAGTGGACTGAAGAGTCAGGCCAGCTGGGTTTGATTCCAAGCTCCATCACTTAACTTATTCGCTGTGTGAACTCGGCAAGTGACGTATTTTCTCCATTTCCCCAACTGTGAAATGGGACCGGTAACAGCAGCTCCCACAGGCTTCTTGTGCGCAGAGTGAGCATGGGTACCACACCGAGGACAGTGCCTGGGACGCGTGCTACAGCCATGAGCCCCTGCCATCACCATCACGATGGTCTCACCTCTCCACATTTTAAACTCTTGGAGGTATTTTAAGCCACCTATACTCTTTTAGATTTCTTTTGTCTCCCTTCCTCGTTATTTCCTAGAATAATGTGATTTCAAAGAGCTCAAATATTTGTTGAATAAATGAAAGACTCTTATATTTGAGAAATCCCTAGAGAAGAAAATGGCTGAGCATTTGATTGTCACTTATGTGGCAACCAGCAATTAAATCTCTCTTTTTACCAGGTGGCTGATCTCACCTGGCACTTAAACCTGTTTTGTTAAGAGAGAATATTTGTCTTAAAATCCGTCTTCTCAAATAGCACAGGAAGGCCTTTCTTCTCCACTTATGAGCTGGACACCTCACTTTAAACTGTCACAAGGAAACGAGCCATTTGTGGTAGAAACACAGGCCTCGGGGTTCCTGATCCCTGTGATTTACCGGCAGCTCTCTGGGAACATATGACATATGCTTAATACAAAAATAAATTGTATTAGATGATACATTTCTTTAAAGCACCTGGTGAGATGCGTTCAAACGCTTCCACTGTAGCGGTCACCTGCCTGTGGCTGTGTCTGTACGGTCCAAGCTTATCTAAGGATGGTTTTCTTTCTCTGGAGGTTTAAATGGGCCTGGGGGCTTGTGGGCCACGAGAGCATAAGAAGCCATTGTGAAAATAATGAAAACATCTGTCCTTCTGATGCCGTCCTTTCTCTCTCCTCCTGACTCTTACTCCGTCTCGGCTGGGTCCTTCCCAGCAGCACTTGAACATGCTTAGGTCTCTCCCAAATTAGAACAGAGCAGAACAAAACTGCCCTGCTTAGCCTCTACCCCACTTTCTGTCTTGCTCACAGCCAGATTTGTGGGAAGCGCCGCATACACCTACCGGCTCCGTTCTCCCACTTCCCACCTGCTCCCCAACTACTCAGTTTGGCTTTTGCCCCATTAGTCTTCAGAAGGGCTCAGCACCCGCCCTCCGTCCACTAAACCCACACCCTCTCACTTCTCACTTCACGGACTCTGTGGCTCTCTCTGGCTGACCAAGGCCTCACCACCGCCCCCCCCCAATTTCCTCCTCCTACCTACCCCCCAGGGAGTTTCTAATGTCAACAAAGAGGGCACATAAATTTCCATGCCTTTTTGTTACACGTATACAGAGGCACATACATCATTCATCAGAATGTGTATTTATGGTTTTTTTTCTGAAATTGTAGTGTTCATAACACTTTGCGATTTCCTTTTCCCATTTGACATGATATGCCAGTCTTGGAAGTCGAAAAAACATTTCTAACTCTACAATTTTTTATTTTCACATATAAATGTACGCATATCAGACATCACTAAGTGATAGCGCATCAGGACAAGTTATTACATTTTTAAAAATTAGAGAAAAAAATTGGATTTTGCATCTAGGGGTTCTCTTGAGTTTCCAGGGGAGCAGGACCCATGGCCGCAATCACAAGTGCACAGATGTTAACTCAATGGAAGGCAAAATGAGCATAATTTCCTGTGGCTTCCAGCCACACCCCGATAGAGCCATTTTATCTTGAGAAGCACTGAGCAGCTCCCTGAAAACACTGGCTCCATTATCTGTGTTTTGGGTTTAAATATTAAATTAAAAACATTTTACATTGCTAAGCAAAAGGACATATGATCAGAGGCCTTGAAAATAATTTTGCTTGGGAGGCGGCAGCCACATTCCAATGACAGTGGAACTTGCTCTCTGCAAGTTTCCTTTAGTCTAAGTCTGGGCATCTTTCACTTTCCTTTCTCTTTCTGATTTAAAAAGTCACACCGACCCTCAGTGAAGGCTGAGTAAAACACAGACAGCTCAGCCTTCCCCGGGGCGCCCTTGCTCATGCTCTGCGGTAGTCCATCAGGGTCACGAGGGAGGGGAAGTCCAGGACCTGCTGACTGGAGTTCAACACAAAACATCATGTCTGGCCTCAAATGCCCGATCCTTCCCTTACAATTTCCCAACTACACCCCTTCTAGGAATCTTCTGAAAATTCTCGTTATCAAAACAAATATTTTCAAACACCACCCTCTTAAAATAAAAATCTGCACAGGATAGCCAAAAGCCTGGAAAATTAAAAGATCTCTATATGGGTGCCTGGCAGGCTCAGTCAATGGAAGATGCGACTCCTGATCTCGGTGTTGTGAGTTCGAGCCCCATGTTGGGTGTAGAGATTACTTAAAAATAAAATCTTAAAATAAATAAATAAATAAAATATCTCTATAGTCCTTCATTTTTAGTAGACTATAATTGCTTCCATAGAGATATTTCTGAAAGTTGAATGCCCATCATTAACAGAACAGTTGAATCAAATGAATTTTCCCTTGCAATTCAAAGGGGTTAACAGCAACAAAACAAAACAAAAAATCCAAAGCAAACAAAAAAACCCCCAAAGAGGTAATGCAGGAGGAGGAAAAAGAGATCTGGAGGGGAACTTTTGGACATAATGACAAAAACTCACTGGAGTTAAATAATTAAGACATTAACTCAAAATATAATTTAAAACAGTACCGAAGGGCCAGGCACAAAGCAGGTGTCTTATCACAGTCCTGAGAAGACTGAGTCAGGGAGCTGGGTTCTCCCTGGCGGCTGGCAAACAATGGCCCACAGGCCAAGATGCTTTTGGGTTTTTTTCTAATTTTATTTTGTTTAAATTCAATTAATTAACATACAGTGTATTATTGGTTTCAGAGTAGAGGTTAGTGATTGATTCATCCATTGCCTGCATACAACACCCAGTGCTCATTACATCACAGGCCCTCCTTGATGCCTGCTTGTGAAAGGCCAGCAAGCTGAGAATGAGTTTTACATCTTTAAACATTTGAAAAAAAAGATGGTTAGTACACATAAAAATCAACTGGAATTCAAATTTTAGTGTCCATAATCAAAATTTTATGGGAACACAGCCACATTTGTCCATTTATGTATTGCTGATAGCTACTGTGCATTACAGTGGCAGACCTGAGTGGTTGGAACAGACACCTGGGTAGCCCACGAAGCCTAAAATATTTACCACTTTCCCCTTTACAGAAAAAGTCAGCCAATCCCTGTTCTAAACCAGATTTTACTGCCATCGACTTTGTGTGACCTGAGGCTGGTCTCCTGCCCTCTCTGGGCCCACCCCCAGAGAAGGTGCTGGCCAGGACCCCCAGCCAACGTCCAGGGCTGCACTTGTTGGACAAAGGCGGACAGAGCAAGAGCAGCCGCTAGTGCCACCTACAGCTCAGGAAGGAAGTGGCAGGCGCGGGGCTGCGGTGGGAGAGACGGTCACTGGTGGATCTCAGCGCGGCTGTCTGCTTTGGTGGAGGGCTCCTATTGAACTATCTCCCCAACTGGTGCCATCGATGGACAAAATCTGACTTTTACACACCTTTCAAACAGACAGACCACAGCTCCAAGTAGAAACATATCCCCCACATTCACTTCAGGAGTAACTGCTCCCCACAAGAGAGAAGGAATGCAAACCAATTATTACTACAGAGAACTGGAGAGGGTGATGTGTACGTTTTCTCTAGCTCTGAAGGAAAAACAAGGAAAAAGCTTGTCATCTGGGAGATCCATCTATAGTGCATGAGTCACCATTCTCTATACCATTTCATGAGACTCACTCACATTAGTTCTGAACCGTCAGGCTTTAAAAAACCAGGTAAGCAGATTTTTCACAGCGGAGGAAACCCACATGAAAACAATGCAATTAAAGGAGTCAAGTGAACCAAGCCTCTCACCCGAGAGATTCTCGCAGTGAGCCTCTGTGCCCAATGTTCCCAACCACGAGGAAGACCAGAGGAGGCTCATGCCCCTTCAAAGCAAAAGATTCATGTTGAAGAACTGTTGTCTTTGAACTTCCCGTGAAACCCAAGTGCTGTGGAGTATGGCATCTGTGTGCTGGCTGCAGCAAGCCCACCAAAGGTGCGGCCACCCACAAGTGCTCCCACCTCGAACCCTCCTGTTGGTGGAGTCTGGCTGCTGCCCCCCAGTGACATGCCCTGAGCAGGACCCAGCAGGAGTGATGCTCTGATGCTGCTGAGCGTGGAGAGGGTTGGAAGTTTTGCAGCCAACTGGGAAGGAAGTGCAGGCGAGACCGCTGAGTGATTAGAGGCCGTGGAGGACACAAGGCTAGTTTGGACATGGAAAGGAGCCACACGACATTCCACGTAAGACCAGCAGACACCCACCCAGCCGAGCTCTAACCAACCCCCAGAACTGTGAGAAATAAGGCAGCAGGGATTGAAATCTCCATTTCTGGACTAACTCTTCAAGGCAAGGAAGAGACTCAATAGTTTGGCCCAAGTTTTTTATGTGGTGTCAAGAGCCTCCAACTTACTTCATCATCTTCATCTTCATCGTCGTCAGATTCAAGAACACCATCCAGTAGCTCTTCTATATAAAGAAAAAATAAACGAATGAATAACTGCGAACACAGTGGGGAGCCTTGGCCAACAGAACCCTTCAGCTGCTGCAGAGACCAGAACAATCGGGTTTCTGGTGCCCACGCAGCCACAGACTCAGATCATCCCAAGCAACTTAAATCTCTCTCCCCGTTTGTACCAGAACGCACTGGTAGTGGCATGAGAAAAGCTGAAAGCCAGCATATAATTTGAGAGGAATTTAGAGGAAAGGAAGTGAACGAGTATCACTAGGCACCGTGCTGGGTACTGTCACATATGCTGTTTACTCCTTGCAAAGACTTTGTTGACTCTCATTCCCATTCTATAGCAAAGAGCAAACAGAGGCACACTTGTTTACGGTCACATTCCCACAGGTGACAGAGTTGAGATTTGACTGGAGTCTATTTCTAAATCCCATGATTTTTCCACAGAGGCCGGAGTAGTGGCCATGGCAGTAGGGTTCCCCGAAGGCTCTCGTGGTTCACTGCTAGATTGTAAAAGCGCTTATAAAGGGGATAACAGCACATTGGAATCAGAGAAAGAATGAGCCTCTGTTTCTTCATCAGTGAAATGGGTATCAGAACACCTACTTCCTAGGGTGATTGGGGGGATTTTATAACATGCCAGAACTACACCACCTGGCCCAGGGTCAGGTACAAAGCAGGTATGACATAGACGTTTGGTTACTTTCTCCTCCACGAAGACTTCCCTGATCCCTCACTGAGTAGTCATCTCTCTTGCTCTGCTGAACACACTCAGCATTTTCTCTAGACAGCACTGTACTAGCATAGTACTAGACAGTACTATAGTATGGTACTAGACGGCAAGGTAATAGATAGTAGTACTAGACAACACTGGGGTAGATAGCGGTACTAGACAGTACTATAGTATAGTACTAGATGGTACTGTAGCAGACGGCAGTACTAGATAGTACAGTAGTACAGTACTAGATGGCACGGTAGTAGAGAGTAGTACTAGACAGTACTGCGGTAGACAGCAGTATAGGTACTGTAGTATAGTAGTGCTAGACAGTACTATAGTCCTAGATGGTACTGCAGTAGACAGTAGTACTAGACAGTACTGTAGTATAGTACTAGACGGGATGGTAGTAGATAGTAGTACTAGACAGTACTGCGGTAGACAGCAGTATAGGTACTGTAGTATAGTAGTGCTAGAGAGTACTATAGTCCTAGATGGTACTGCAGTAGACAGTAGTACTAGACAGTACTGTAGTATAGTACTAGACAGGATGGTAGTAGATAGTAGTACTAGACAACACTGCGGTAGACAGCAGTATTAGTACTGTAGTAGATAGTAGTGCTACACAGTACTGTAGTATAGTACTAGACAGCAGGGTAGTAGATAGTAGTACCAGACAGCACTGCGGTAGACAGCAGTATTAGTACTGTAGTAGATAGTAGTGTTAGACAGTACTGTAGTATAGTACTAGACGGCACGGTAGTAGATAGTAGTGCTAGACAGTACTGTAGTAGATAGTAGTACTAGACAGTACTGTAGTATAGTACTAGACGGCACGGTAGTAGACAGTAGTACTAGAGAGTACTGTAGTATAGTACTAGACGGCACGGTATGATATAGTAGTACTAGACAGTACTGTAGTATAGTACTAGTCAGCACTGTAGTAGATAGTAGACAGCACTGTGGTAGACGGCAGTACTAGACAGCGCTGTGGTAGACGGCAGTACTAGACAGCGCTGTGGTAGACGGCAGTACTAGACAGCACCGTGGTAGACGGTAGTACTAGACAGTACTGTGGTATAGTACTAGACAGCACTGTAGTAGACAGTACTCTGATAGTGCCTGCCACTTTTGGATGACCAGTGTTTCCTAATGTGTGAATGGCTATGCACTATCTGGGAATTGTGAGTGCCTGGGGAACAAAGCACTGGGCTCACTCATCCCTTTTTTCCTTATGTGTCTTCCTTATGATCTCTCATTTCTTGAACAGATGACATGTAAGTAACGAAAGCCTGAGAGAGGAGGGTAGGATGTCAAATAGGAAGCAGGAGGAAAGAAAGAATGAAAGGCAATTCTTTTTTTTTTTTTTAAGATTTTATTTATTTTTTGACAGACACAGCGAAAGAGGGAACACAAGCAGGGGGAGTGGGAGAGGGAGAAGCAGGCTTCCCGCGGAGCAGGGAGCCTGATGCGGGGCTTGATCCCAGAACCCTGGGATCATGACCTGAGCTGAAGGCAGACGCTTAATGACTGAGCCACCCAGGTGCCCCTTGAAAGGCAATTCTTGAAGAGATTGCTCAGCACACGTAGAAAGGTGGCAGATTCACCCAAACTTAACCCCCAAACCATTTCACAGAAGGGAATATGTAGAAACCCGAGGACACCCATCGTCCTCAACATGAGCCGCATTTCGAAGGGAAGGACTCCACAGACTTGGCTGGACCAAGGACAGCAGGACACGGACTTCTGTCCTCACCTCAGAGGGGCTTGCACGCCTCCATGCCCATCATGGCCCCACCACTGTCAAGAAAACTACTTTGCAGACAGGGGGAAATTATGTCATTCTGCCTCTGAGCTGATGCTGCATTACCTAACTTCTACTCCCTCCCAGCGCATGAGGAGCATGACTCCATTTTACCTGCAGTAAATGCCCATCAAGCAAGTGGTTTTCAAAATGGAAATCACTGCTATATTCATCAATTGTAAACATTTCTTTTTCAAATAACGGAAATGCCCTCTGCCACTTTTTAAAAAAGAATCTTTGATATTTTGTGAGGTCATGGCTGGTCCAGCCATACTCCCTCCCCTGAGCCTGTTGGCTCAGAGGCCTCCTCTTTCCAGAACAATCCAGTCCTGAGAACTAAAGTACCTTATCAACCTCAGCTCTTGCTCTAGGGCATGACGGGGGCATCAGCCCAGTTTCCCACGCTGTTCTGTTCGCTGGGCCCTGGCACAACCAGCTGCCCTCACTCCGGTAACTGCCAGCGTGTGGTGCTGGAGCTGCCAGTTTCCGTGTTTTCCTGAGGACCCAGCCGGTTCGGCTGGCTCTGCCCTGCTCTTGTCCTCTCCGCAGTCCCTGGCAAGTACGGGCCAGCCCCCCCGCTGAGGGCTGGTATGACGGACAAACGTCCCTGCTGTGGCTGTTGGCAGTCACCTCCGCTTGTCAGGTCACCAGCTTTCCCATAAGCTTCCCCAGAGCAGTCCTTCCTCGCCTGTGGGGAGAGGTTCCCAAACAGCTAGAATTTTTGTATTTGGAAACCTTAAAACTTTCTAAGATAAGTAATGCTAGAGAATGGAGACGGGCTTGAATGTATGAAAACCCATTTACATGTCTTAAGTATATACTAAAGTAAAACAAGAAAGTCAAAAAATAAAGATTGTGGCAATGCCATTTCACGTATCTTAAACTAGAAAACTGCTACTAATTCATACTTTCCCGTTACCGTCCACTTGAGGATGAGGCCTGAACTGGGTGGGAACTCCAGCTCTGCCCTCTCTGGCTTTCATCACCATGCTGGTACATTCATCCAGCCTGACTCCATGCTCATGACACATATTCTAAGGTATTTGTGTGTGTATGTCTGGTCCTCCATCCAAATGTTCAGTGACTTTCTAATTTTGGTTCAAAGTAGCAGACTCCTAGGTAATAGTCTCTGAGGACCTGCCACTGTCCCATGGATACAGAATAACTTAAGTGCTTGAGATCAAAAAAGAAATACTTCTGACACTCTTTCTTTAAACTGGAACTTACCGAGAAAGGCAGGTGTATCTCAGGCTTTTCCTGGACATAAAGCGTGAGCTGTGCCCACAATAACTTCTTGGCAAAGCACATCTCTCACGGAAATGTCAACTGACCCTCCCTCTTCACATTTGTCAGCATGCTGGCTCGAGGGCCAGATTTACGTAAGAGAAAGAGATGGTTTTGGCCAGAGAGCAAGGCGGACCTCCCCCTGTGCCTTGGCTGCCAGGAAGGAGGGAAGACTGACAAAGAAATGGAGGTGGCTATGTCTCGACAGACTGAAACACAGAGTGAGGCTTGAAGAAGATTCGCAGCTAGATGTGACCTTGAGGCTGCATAGGACCCCTGGCCTGGGACGGAGGTCTCAGCATGGCTGATGAGCATGGAGCAGAAAGGGACCAATGCTCCCGGCCTTCCCCTGCTTTCTAAACTGTTGCCTACCCAAAGAAGGTTAGGGAGCAAGCTCAGCCCTGACTGAAGTTAAGGTTTTATTTAGCATTATTTTGTAAATACGCCTGCCCAGCAGAATTGGGGCTCGAAGTCAGAAGTGAAGCTGTTGCAGGGGCGCCTGGGTGGCTCAGTCGTTAAGCGTCTGCCTTCGGCTCAGGTCATGATCCCAGGGTCCTGGATTCAAGCCCCACATCGGGCTCGCTGCTCGGCGGGAAGCCTGCTTCTCCCTCTCCCACTCCCCCTGCTTGTGTTCCTTCTCTCACTGTGTCCCTCTCTGTCAAATAAATAAATAAAATCTTTAAAAAAAAAAAAAAAGCGCCTGCCTTTGGCTCAGGTCATGATCCCAGGGTCCTGGCTCAGCGGGGAGTCTGCTTCTCCCTCTCCCTCCACCCCTCCTCTCTGCTCATGCTCTCTCTTGCACATGCTCTCTCTCTCAAATAAACAAATAAAATCTAAAAAGAAAGAAAGAAAGAAATGAAGCTGTTGCAGGGGACCTGGGTGGCTCAGTCGGTTAAATGTCTGACTCTTGATTTTGGCTCAGGTCGTGATCTCGGGGTCCTGGGATCGAGCCCCGTGTCAGGCTCTGCACCCAGCGGGGAGTCTGCTTGAGGATTCTCTCTCTCCCTCTCCTTCTGCCCCCTCGTGTGCACGCAAGCTCTCTCAAATAATTAAATAAAACTTAAAAAAAAAAAAAAAGAAGTGAAGCTGTTGTAAAAAATCAAATTCTATTCCTTGCTCACCTGAATTTGGGATGAATCATATTTGCTCTGTAGGAGCCACGGGGGAGGATGTTCCCATGGAAACGGGCCCTAGCCTGAAGAGAGCTGAGGTCTCACACCTCACTGGCTGCTCTCCCAGCTGCTTGCTTCCTGTTGCTCAGGAGCCTCTAAGGGCCTCTTTCTGCCTCTCCATTTGTGCGCACGTCAGAGGCAGGGATACGCCATCTTGGCTGCCCATGGGGATCACCCAGGAGCTTTAAACATTATTCACACCTGGGGTCCCCCCGGAGATTCTGATTTCACCAGCATGGGATGCTGCCTTGCGGATTTAAAAAACTCCTCAGGTGACTGCCACGTGCAGCCCAGGCTGTGAACCGTGAGCTAGAAGAGCCACCTATGGGCTTCTTCCAGTGAATGGCTTCTGGCAGCTACCTTGCTCAAGCTGCTGACTTGGGAGTAGCGATCAGATTTGTTTTTCACCTTCGCTCATGGGCGGGGCAGGATCTGTGCACATGGACTTTCTGTGATGGGAAGGGCATATAGAAAGACATACACGACAAACTTGGCCCTGGGGGCTGGCAGGGCCAGGTGCCTCTGACAGGTCTATGAGTCAGGATCAAGGTGTCAGGGGTCCACAGAAAGAGCTAGCGTTTCCCCTCCATCCTGGTTCCATCCAAGGCTTCCTGCACCTTCCTTTCCTGCTTATTATGGGATGTAGGTTGTCACAGTAATGGAGAAAGCCAGAGAGAAAGAGGATCATATCCTCCTGTGGAGCCAGTAGGCAATATAAATTTTTCTTGAAAGAATGAACGCATACGGGAGAATGATGTTTTCTGTAGCAGTGCTGGGGAGACTGGCATTTGTTTTCCTTATTGGGACCCCAGGGAAGCCTTATGAGGTGGGGGAAGAATTAGGGGAAAGCCCACATAAAGAGAATGTAAGGTTGGAGCAGGGTGTTTGTGATTGCTTTTGAATTCTTTTTCTTGACTATAAGCCTGAAGTGTGATGAGAGATCGCTGGTCTTGGGACACACTGGCTTTGACTACCTGGTCAAACTTTTGTTGGTGGGTTCACTTGGGTCTCCCCAACCTCCCTTAAAGCCTCTTGAATGAATTTCAAGACACAACAAGCCTTCTAAGAAAGCTCACACATTTTTCTAGCCCATGTGAAAGATGCAAAAGATCACAGATTCTTGCATTAAACGGACCTGAATTAAGCTGCTTGATGATGAATTCAATCTGGCGGACCATTTCAGCATTGCCTTCTTTGATGAAGCAGCGAAGGATGTCCTCCATTCCCTAGGGGCATTGGAGAGAGTAACAGTTAATATTTCAGGTTTTTTTTTTTTTTTTTTAAATGGGGTGAAACTAGTTTTCAACGGAATAGTTTCACCTAATCAAAAAAAAAAAACAAAAAAAAACGCTTTATTTGGGGGGGAGGGATATACACAATAAAAATTCCTCTGCTCAGTACTAAACATTCTTTTTGTTCTTTTTACAATTCACAGTGGAATTATTTTCCTCTTGGTTGACTATCCAACCAAATTATAAAACATATAGCCAACCAGAAAACCCATTGTACAGAGAACTGGGGGTTGCCAGAAGGAGGTGGGTGGGGGGAGGGGTGAAGTAGGTGAAGGGGATTAGGAGGTACAAACTTCCAGTTAGAGAATAAGTAAGGAGTCACGGAGATTAAAAAAAAAAAGAAAGTACAGCATTGGGAATATAGTCAATAACGTTGTAATAATGTTGTATGGTGACAGATGGTGACCACACTTCTCCTCGTGATGAGCACTGGGTAACATACGGAATTGTTGAATTACTATACTGTACACCTGAAACTAAGATAATACCGTATGTCAACTACGCTCTCATAACAAGTGAAAAAAAAACTGTAAAATTTTACTGGGTAAGTATTCCCTTTAGTTTGGGCAGTATGTTGTTTTGGGAGGTGGTTTCTTTCTTATGATTTCTTTATACTCTTCCTTCTGGATTTTAGGCACAATATGAAGAGTAAAACCATATGAGTAGAGAAGTAAATGAACAAGCAGCACCTCTTTTTAAACAGCTATCATTCTTTTTCTCTCAAAATAATTACAAAGTCACCACACTGTACATTATTTACTTTATCATAAAATGCTGGCGTCAGAATTTTCAATATTGACTAAGAGAATTGCAGGGAAACGTCGAGGTAAGACACTGACTCGAGCACATTGTCTGTCTCCCCTCCCTCCTCTTTCCTTGAGGGATGTGAATGAGGATTTGTGGCTGGAGCTGGTGAGGCTTCTTGCCACTACAAGGGGAAAGTGGTTCTCATCATGAACCCAAAACAGAAGAAGCAGAGAGACATGGATCTACTAACAGTGAACTCTGATCAAGCTCTGCCTGAAGCTTGTGCCTGGACTTCTCAGTGAAATGAGCCAATATTTCCCTCTTTAAACGTAGGCCTGTTTGGAATCAATAGCTCTAACTGAATCAAAGCAGTGCCAAGTGTGCAGTTTTGAACACGGTGAATTCCCATCATCTAGAGCAGAGCATTACCTTCTAGAAGGTTAAGACTGGATTGTATCTGAGCTCCCTCATGAATTAACTGTGTGACCTTGGTCAAGTTGCTTAGTTCCTCTCAGCCTGTGTCCTCGACTATAAAATAAAGATGGCAACTCTAGTTAACATGAAATTTTTAAAAGATAAAGAATGTAAATTGGGTATTGGTTATATAGATGTATGTTTGTCAAATGCATTGAACTGCGTATATAAGGCCTATGCATTTCACTGTTCATAACTCATATGTAAAAAAATAGCATCTAGTCCAACTGCTGGCACACAATAGATGCTCAATAAATGGTTAAGATTGTGCTTGCTGTGTTTGGAAGGGTTTTGTGGCTCGGAAGAGAGATCTGGTAGCTGAGGCCAAGGGAATAAACAAGGTTGCAGGTGACAGAATAGCGAGAGGCTTAGGACAGCATCTTTGAGAACAGTAACATTTAACTGGTAGGCAGAGATAGGTAAGCACACAGAGGAGAACATGAAGGAGTGGTGTGGAAGGGAAGAACAACTCTGGATAGTCCTTGGATCAAGGAAGAGGGTGCCAAGAGGGCAGCAGTCTGCTCCAGCTCAGGGCAGAATGTTTGGCTGGGGTTTAAATCCCACAGAAGAGCTTCGTGGCCGACAACTGCTTCAGCCCTGGACGCAGGAGGCTTTGGAGTAGGCATGAGGGCATCCCTATTGATCTGAACTGCTCTCCTGCCCCAGACCTTGGCAGTCTCTTCCAAGTTCAAATGGGGCTCAGTGCACTCAGTTACCATTTTCTCCACTTTGGTGGGTATTATTTTGAGACCGCCATAAGAGCATTCAGTACTGATATAATTTTTAGGTATTCTTTGTCATTTTCCACCAGCACACAAATAGTTGCAAAAACAGAGTTCTTATAATGTCATACTCTCCTCTCCTGGGACTCCAGTTACATAAGTGTGAGACCTCTGGGTATTGTCCCCCAGGTCTGAGGCACTGTCCCTTTCCTCCACATTTTTTCTCTGTGGCCTGGATGATCTCTAAGGGTCACACCCTCACATCCTACAACTTCGACTCTCTCCTCCCCACCTGGTCCCTGTCCCTTTACTGCCATTCCCTCCTGTCTTCTCTACCCCTCACCCTGGATGTCCTTCCTCCATGCTGCCTTTCATGCTACTTGATCCATATCACCTCTGTTCTTTCTTTTTCTTCAGCCTACATGTCTGCTTCCTTGTTTCAGCCTTGGTTGACAATTCCGGTCACTGGAATGACCATAATGCAGAATTTAATCAAGTTTTTTTTCCCTGTTCTGTATTGAGATAGCAGATTTTATTTTTTTTTAAAGCAATAGGCAATTAAGTTCCATTATTATACTGTGACCACACAGAATGGTTCTTAATTAAGTTTTTATCTCTGGCATAACTGTTGATGTAATTTTAGATGACTAATTAGGAGATTTAGCAATTCTTCTAAGTAAGCAAAATCAAGTGGAGGAACATGTTTCATTGGTCTCAAACTGAATTTGGCCTGTGTTTTGACTGTGGAAATATATTTAATCTCTTCATAGCATTTAATATGCCCACTGTTAACCTGGTTTCACATTACAGGGAAAAGGGCAAAACTCCAGCACTTTTGCTGATTAGATCTAGAAACACTTGTCATCTCAAAAGATGCTAATCACCTGAAGCTTGTTTTGTATTTCCAATATAAACACTAATGTAAATACACTAAATATTGAATTCACTATTTACCAACCAAAGTAGCTACCTGACAGTTTTATCATCAGCAGCAGGATTTCTGCCCCCACTGGTTGCTGTCAGAGCACCTGTAGGTTAAGAGTGTCTGGCCTGCACCAGTTTTTTTGTTTTTTTTTTTAAGATTTTTTATTTATTTGATAGAGAGAGACACAGTGAAAGAGGGAACACAAGCAGGGGGAGTGGGAGAGGGAGAAGCAGGCTTCCCATTGAGCAGGGAGCCCGATGCAGGGCTCGATCCCAGGACCCTGGCATCATGACCTGAGCCGAAGGCAGACGCTTAACGACTGAGCCACCCAGGCGCCCCTTGGCCTGCACCAGTTCTCACTGCTGCCCCAGGCCCTCCAGGAATCCTGGGGGTGCATTTCATTGGGGACTTTCTCCATTTCACCATTTTCCTGCATGAAATGCATAGACTTACCCAAAGCCCCAAATTAAAATGAACCATTAAAAATGTCTGTAAAAATGTAACTTTCCAAAAATAAGCCTGCTGGGAACTTTCTAACACTATAGTTTTTGTTAGAGAGAGAGAGAGAGAGATTGAGCATGAGCAAGGCAGGGGCAGAGGGACAGAGAGAATCTTAAGCAGGCCCCACACCCAGTGCAGGGAGCCCAATGTGGGCTCACGACCCTGAGATCAGGACCTGAGCTGATCAAGAGTCAGATGCTCAACCGACTGAGCCATCCCAGTGCCCCTCTAACACTGTAGTTCTTCCTTTTTAAAAAAAATATTTTTTTTTTTTTTTTTTTTTTTGAGAGAGCGAGCGAGCACGAGAGGAAGGGTCAGAGCAGGGAGCCTGATGTAGGACTCAATCCTGGGACTCCAGGATCATGACCTGAGCTGAAGGCAGTTGCTTAACCAACTGAGCCACCCAGGCACCCCTTTAACACTGTAGTTCTTAAGATTTAGGAGTTAGGGATCACTTTAGAATCTGATAAAAGCTACAGACCCTCTCCCCAGAAAACTGCAAATGCGTATCTGGCATATAATTTCAGGGAGTTCGCAAACTGTGTGTAAGCCACGGAGCCAAGCACGGTCTAGGAGCTCCCTGCTCTAACAGCTTCTGAACCGCGCCACTGACTGAAGCTTACAAACTGCTCAAGCCCATTTTCTTACCATTGCTCTTGCTTCCTCACGAATGGATGGAATAGAAAGGATGCTGTACAGAGCTCCATTCACATACGGCTGTATCTTTAAGGGGAGAAAAAAACAGTCATTTGCAAGTTCTCAAACACTGTACAACTCCGTGATCAAACACCCCACTCAAGAATAATCTGGCTAATGAGGAGAGTGAGCGTTACCATCTTCCTGAGCTCCAGGATGCATGTTTCCAAATGACCGATATCTCCATTGGCATGTCCCAGTGACAGTGACAACTAAGAGTTCAAAGCCAAGTTCATTATTGGCTCCCAAAGCTTACTCCTGCTGTGTTTCACTGCTTGACTAACGTCATGCTGATCACGCAGGCTTCTAGAACCGCTGGAGTCATCATCGATTGTTCTCGCTTCTGCTCTCCAGCGTTCAGTCTCCAGGCTGCCTTTGATAGGAACCCTTCTTTCCCACACACACTACCACTGTCCTTGCTCAGACATCGTCCGTGACCTAGGTGACACTCAATCTCCAAAAGAGTCTCTCTCTGTCTTTGATGTTCACACTATAGTCCAACAATCATTATCATTGCCAAAATTCTACAACATGGGCCAAATCATCCCTCTTCCTACCTCGGAAACCTTCCCTAGAGCCTACCTGGAAAGTTCTAACTTCTTAGTACAGCACACAGGCCCCTTCAAGCTTTGGCCTCAATATAATGTCCCCCTGCCCCTCCCTTCCTGCCACCATGAAGTTTACACTGTACAGATCGGTCTCCCCCTACTCACAGGGCCCCCCACCACACCACACACTCTGCTGTGCTTCCTGTATATCCCTCCCCTGCCGTACTGGATTCAGTCTGTTTTTATATTTATACTTCTGTCTCCCCCATTGTGAGCTCTTCAAGGACTGGACCCATGTTTTACTCACACAGGTAACCCCAACATCGAGCTGCACAGGACACGGTACATAGCAGGTGCTTGATAAATGACAGCTCCCTTTTGAGTAGATTTTGTGCTACACCCTCCACAGCAATGGAGGAGGGCCCATTCCCACCATTGTTTTCTAGCACTGGACTTTATTATCCTTTAGTTTTTGCCAGTCTCATGGGTAAAGAGAAAAAAGGCATCTTATGGTTGTTTTTACTTTCATTTTCCTGACTATCGGCAAAACTAAACATCTTGTCTTTATCTATAGGTCATCAAGATTTACTGTTCTGTAAACTGCCCATGTGTGTACTTTATCCTTTTCTTACGTCTTTTTATTATCAATTTATAGGAGCTCTCCATATATAAGGGATATTAAACTTCGGTCCTATGTGATGCAAACTTTTCCTCAGGGTATCATTTGTCTGTTGACTCCTATTGTGGCCTCTTTTTCCATATAAAAAAATTTACTGTTCACAGAGTCAAATCTGTGCATCTTTTTCTTTATGGCTCCCAGGTTTCATTTTCAAGATCACGACTATCTCACACAGGACGCATGTATGTAGCATTGATTTGTGTAGCGAACATATTTCTAGGCTCTAACATGTGTACAGGTAGATTTTCCAGCTCATCTTCAAAGCAGATATATTTGTAACAGTCCTCCGGTCTATTCTGTCCTCAGAGGTAACATACTGGTTCCAACACTTGAAACCAACATTTACTATTAGAGACTGAATATATTTCCCGTAGGCTTCAACTGCCTTTGTTGAATAAAATGGAGAACAGAGTCTAAAAGTAGTTAAGAGCTCTTGATTTTAAAATATAAAAAGCATGGCATACACTGTAACAACCACCAACCCTTCACTTGCTGAAGCAGCCTGGGTCACTCAGCTGGGGGGCGGGGGCAGGGGGATGGAAGATGCGAGAGAAGTGAAGAGAAGGGGAGCTGTCTGCAACTAAGTGCCTCACTCTGACCCAGTGGTACTCAGTCCTGTCCTGCTAAGACACCCGTGCACCTGATCTGGCTAAAGAGGTCAGGTTTCTGTTGAGGCTTTGGCGTCAGGTGCCAAGTCATGCCACGGTTTCTGCACAGGCATCTGCAGAAAGCCAGTGAGAGAACACTCATACCATTTCGAAGTTTCTGTTAATTAGTTTATCAAGACCTCTACTTCATTTTAAAAGGGCTTATGGCCCACAGGCTAGACGACAGAAAATCCCACCGTGCTGGGGAGGACACGGCGGAGAGCAGAAGCCGGTAAAGCCACTCTGCAGGACAATGTGGAGGGACTCCGACCTGAGACAGACACACAGGGCGAGCCAGCAGTGACGTGTGTGTCTGCACCCCAGGGGCCCTTGGGGGCCAGGATGGCGATGTCACCGAGGACCGGCGTGGTGGCTGAGGGCTGGAGGCAGCTGAGGTGGACAAGCCTGGGGGACTGGATGGGGGCGCCTCAAACAGGGGCTGTTTCGCAGGGGCGAGATTAAGGAATGAGATGTATACAAAGCAACACAGAAAAGTCTAAAAACACAGTGAAAAAGTAGGAAAAGAACGTGATCTAGAGCGCAATACTACTGACACAATTACGCACATGCAGCAACAGCGTTAACTAAATTTTCAGGCCGCACCGCAGCACAGGGAGAGCCGTGGGGGAAGAATGAAGCAGGGTAAGTGACAAGGAGGAGAATGAGCCTGGGAGGGAGCTGGTACACACCAGTGATGGCGGAGTGATAGGAAATGAGGAGTTGGGATCAACCTCCGGCTTCCCAGTTCCAGAATTTGGAGGAGGGGGTGCACTGACTAGCGTGGCCAGCCTCCCCCAATCCCCAGGCTAGCAGCGCTGGCCCAGTACCTCGTGGTTCTCATGGCCGAGCAGATCCGAAAGAACTTTTAGCACCAGACCCGCCACCTTGGCACACATGTTCTTCCCTTTAGAAAAAACAATGAGACAAAACACGACATGTCTAAACGCACAACAATCACAGTTTCAAGTCAGGCAGACTTGAACACAAATCTTGGCTCCTCTGCTTATGAACTGTGTGATCCTGGGTGAGTCACTTAGCTAATCTGGGCCCCAGTTTCTTCCTCCTGGGATTCCTGAGGGATTCTTAACATCTACTGCAAAGGGTGACGCAGAAGGAAGTAACTCAGTACAGGCTGCGCATTCCAAGTGCTCAGTAAATGGTGGCGCAGAGGGCACAGAGCTATTCGTGACCGTGAGTGGAAACACAATCTATTACAGAGCAATGCTCTGCCTCCCAGGTGCACATACCATCATCATAAAAATCATACAGGTGTCTTAGCCAATCCAAACATCATAACAATCACTGCAAATAAATTGGTGATACTAAGAAAAGCTGCTTAGAATCTGGTAAACGTTTTAAAGCTAGGATACTTGCATATGCTATTCTTTAAGAGAAGACTGAAATCACATTTACTCAGTCAACAACACATGAGTGGTTCAGATTACAAAGCATCCAAAGGCAAAGAAGCTTCTCACAAATACCGCTATTTAACTATGTAACCTTCTTCCAAAACCGGGGCTGCTCAGACCGGGGTCAGCCACAGGCTGGACTTAGCACTTCTTCTAAAGAAGCTTCTTCCATCCCAGGTAACAGATCACTTAAATGGGATGGAACCTCTAGAAAAGCTGCAATCACTACTTTTACGGATCAAACGTCCTGAGACGTGCATGGGAGAATCCCATGTTGGGGGAGTGAAGGGGGAGAGACGGCATGGTTAGGAGCAGGGACACGGTCTGACATCCTTGCTCTGCCCCCAACTTAGCCCTGTAGAATCTTGGAAACATATTTCTCTGTCTTTGGATAGAATGGATCATAATTCTTCACCTCCTACCTTTGAATAATGCAATGAAGTTGAAGAAAAATGTAAACTATTTTAATTTCCTCTTAATTCAGGCACTGCATACCTCTAAAATGTTCTTTTCCAAGGCCAGAATGGTATCTGGCTTCAGGGATTCAACAGCCACATACCTAGTTGGAAATGTTTTACACTCTATTTCTGTTTCAGTTTTCTATGAGGGAGACTAAAGGCAAACCACATCAGGCTGGGTGGTCATCCAGGTTCGACAGTCAGGCTCTCTTCCCCTCCCCCACACTAAAGCCAGAGGGCCCAGGGACAGGGGGCTGAGAAACCTGCACTCCTGAGGCAGAGGTTCATGAGCAAAGCCACCGAGTACTCCAGTGTATAGTCCGACAGGCAATCGGGGTCCTTCAGAATATCAATCAGCCAGAAGATGAGGCCATCTCGAATCATCGCTGTCTGCAGCGGGCGCCTAGGATGCAAAAGCCTACAGGTCAACTAAAGCTGGCAAGAAACTTTCCCTGTAAGAGTGCGTGGTGATGTGCATGACGATCGGAAAAGACAAACTGATGGGATGCCTGGGTGGCTCAGTCGGTTGAGCGTCCGACTCTTGGTTTTGGCTCAGGTCATGATCTCAGGGTCCTGGGATCGAGCCCCCTGCCAGGCTCTGTACTAAGCGGGAGTCTGCTTGAGGATTCTCTCTCTACCTCTGTCTCCCCCCCGCCTCCCTCTCTCTCAAATAAATAAATAAATCGTAAGGAAAAAAAGAGACAAGACAAACTGCGGAAGATACAGACTCTGAAGAATATTTTGTTGTTAGACCCACACACAACTGAAACAACAAATTCTTTACCTTTTGCAGGTATCCCTAAGATTTAGAGAGAGACAAGGCAGTCAGGAGGCCTTCTACCTCGAAAATTTCTTTTTCTATTTAAAATGAGCAGAGTACTACTTCAAATATTTAATAAATATTTACTGAAAGCTTTTGGTCTACCTCACCCAGGAGACAGCCATAGAAATAGTTCATTGACAAACAGATTTTTAGTAAACTCTAGTCCGGCTAAGCACTTTGAGCTGTGTAAAAACAAAGAAAAGCCAAAAACCAGCTCAATCCCATTTTGATTCAGGTCTCTGTAACGTAAAGGTAGTTTAATGATGTGGGCAATACAATTTATACAGAATTATTTTCTGCCCAAAGTCCAGGTGTAAGATCTTATAAAATCTAACACCTCATCCAAATGTGTTATGGTGAATGTCTTCCTGCCAACCTTAAGAACTGATAAGATTCAGAGCGCCTGGGTGGCTCAGTCGGTTCAGCATCCGACTCTCGATTTCAGCTCAGGTCATGATCTCAGGGTTGTGAGATCGAGCCCCATGTCCCGCTCTGCACTGGGCCTGGAGCCTGCCTAAGACTCTCTACCTCTCCCTCTGCCCCCCCCCCCACCAAAGAACTGATGAGATTCAGCATGATGGTATCACCATGAGAAGTCATGTGAATTCTTTGAAAATCAAAACACCATGGAAGAAACACCACTGCACATCCCCTAATGAACAGGTTACGGAAAAACTCCCACCCAGGACATTATCTGTTTGGGCTATTCCTTTTTTTTTTTTTAAGATTTTATTTTTTTTAAGTAATCTCTACACCCAACGTGGTGGTGGATCTCACAACCTAGATCAAGAGTCACATGCTCCACTCACTGAGCCAGCCAGGCGCCTGTCTGTGCTATTCTTAAACACCACACTCACCTCACTGGTGAAATTTACTGGAATACAGTGAAGGCTACACTCTTGGTAATCCTAACTACTTTCTACCTTCATTGTACAGACCCTAGAACATTGCAAAAACATTAAGCATATTTCTAGAACAGAATAGCTTATTACTGTTTGAAGCACAAGAAAAACTGGCAATAAATATCTATATTACCAGGAGGAAGTATTCCTTCATTATATCTTATCTTTGTTACTGTAGTTATTAAATTTCCAAAAATTTTCCAAATACGGTCAACATCAACCTAAATTATCTTTCTAAGCAAATAAAAACCAAGTGTTCATATGATCTGAGGAAACAAGAGCTTTACTACTGGAGTTTACTTTTCAATTTACACATAGTTTGAACAAGAACTTTTCATTGGCAGGGACCTGGCAAACAGTAGGAACTGAATACCTACTCCTTTCCCTCTCTAAATGTGCACACTGAGAACAAGTCACTTTGCAGGCCTTAGGTTCCTAGTGAGAGTCAATCACGTGTCAACCACGTCTGACAGGAAGCAAGTATGTCCAGAAGAGGACTGACGATCAGAAAAAGCTGAGGACTCAAGGTACTAGAATTCTTCCTGTGGCAAAGAGACAGTGAGGTACTCCTGAGGGAATCTACATGTTGGAAGAATTCCATGACTCAGTGACTCCACTGCTAGACATTGACTGACCCAGGCGAAGGGAAAGGTTGCAACCACACAGAGACTTGTAGGCAAATGTTCAGAACATGATTAGACACAGAGAGTAGATACAATCCAGATGTCCATCAACTGATGAACAGATAAACCAGATGTGGTCTCTCCATGGAATGGTGTGTTCTTCAGCATTACAAAAGGAGCAAAGTACTCACACAGGCTACCATATGGATGAACCTCAGAAACAGTGAAAGAAGTGAAAGAAGCCAGTCAAACAGAACACATATTATATGATTCCACTTATCTAAAAATGTCCATTATGGGTAACACTACAAAAAACAAATCAGTGGTTACCTAGGGCTGGGGGTCGGAATAAGGACTGGAAATAGGCCTGAGGTTTCTTTGTGTGGTGATGGAAATGTTCTAAAATTAGCTTGTGGTGATGGTTGTACAACTCTGTAAGTATACTAAAAATCACTGAACGGTACATTTAAAAGGGATGAATTTTGTGCTGTGAGAGTACACTTCGATAATGCTGTTCATGAAAAAAAAAAAAAGCTCTAGGTGGATAGAGCATGCAAGTCCTGACAGGGTCCAGATGGAGACTACCGGGTGGGCGGCTGGAAGCGGGAGGCTCCAAACCTGCCTTCCACGGAACTACCTAGCACACCGACGTGACTGTGTGTTTACGTGCACCTCCCACCACGGGCTGTGAGCAACGTGCAGGCTGAGCCCGAACAGGTTTTGTTCATGGGCATGTGGCCTGGAACACAATCCAGCCCCTGGCCAGCACCAGCTACCGCTGCAGCAGCTTGAGCAGAGGGTTTCGAGGATTCAAGATAAGCTTTCTAGCTCTATCTTGGAAAGTCACCCAACCTCTCCTAAATGTTAACTGAAAATATCATCTGCCTCTTGGGCTGCCACTGGGACTAAACAGTGGCTCACATAAGCCCTATCTGATTTCACAGGAGCCACCAAGACCTACTGCACAGTCAGCACCTGAGGCTGAACTTCTGCAAGGCCCCAAGAATGTTCTCGCGGGTGACGATGTCCTCATCTTCCTCCTTCAGCCTTTCCTCCAGCATCTGCAGCACCTTTGTGCTCTGGGCCAGGTAGAGGCGACCTAATAATATAACCAGAGATGCATGGGTCAGAGAATTTATCTTGTGTTAAGTTCATGCCCCAAAATCACTTTCTATGAACACTTGGCATGTAATACATGTAGAGTTTAGGTAATTTTAGGTTCTAAGAAAAACTTAGAACCTATTTCTTCTGCAAAGTGGTTTTATCCAATCAACTATCTAATGACGAGAAAACCACTCTTATAATCGAAACATAATTCATCATGGGGCACCTGGGTGGCTCAGTCAGTTAAGCCTCTAACTCTTGATTTCAGCTCAGGTCGTGATCTCAGAATTGTGAGATCAAGCCCCGTGCTGGGCTCCACGCTCACTGGAGAGTCTGCTTCTCCTTCTCTCTCTCCCCCCCACGCCCTCTCAAATAAATAAATAAATAAATAAATAAATAAATAAATAATCTTTAAACATAATTCATCACTATGTTTTTGCAGGGAACACTGCCAGATCTACAGGGAGAAAGAAGGTGAGGAATCTATATGTTATGGGCTCCTTAGTCTTTATAATAGAGGCCGTCAAATAGTAATGCTTTCTGGCCACACTCCTTGCTCCTTCTAGACGTACCCGTGGCCTGGAGAAGGAGTTGGGAACCATACCTGGGACCCTACAATAAGCCTTGAGTTATCACTAGGCCATTGTGGACTTGTGTCTTGATACAGATGATGTTAATGCATGTACCTTCATTCATAATAAAGGTCTGCTAAATGGTTGGAAGAACAAGCAAATAATTGAGTGAACCAACTCTTGGAGTATCATATATTCATAATTTGAAAACTCCCTTTATTCACATTTAAAAAGCTGAAACAAAGTAGAACTTATGAAAGATAATGATACTTTGTAAAGTCATTCTGAATTCAGCTTTGGTATGTATTACCTTCGGAATTTTCAAATTCTCTTGGTTTTAGAGGCTATCCGCTTTTTTAAAAAGATTTTCTTTTTAAGTACTCTCTACACCCAGTGTGGGGCTTGAACCCACAACCCTGAGAGGTCAAGAGTCACACGCTCCACTGACTGAGCCCACCAGGCACCCCCAAGAGTTTGTACTCTCTTGAAGGAAATGATGCAGTGCCTATGGGATCAGCTCTGATTATTTCACTAACCTTATTTTGCCTTAAGCAGAAAATTACAGAAAATGCATTACCTGTTATATACTTGAAAACAATCTAAATAGTACTGTTACAAAACCAGAAAGCTTATAAAATAAAACCAGAAGGCTTATAAACTCTAAAACCATCAAAATTTGCTCTGACATAAACTAAGCAATATGACAACAACCAACTTGCACGAGACACCTTCGATGCACTAAACAGGAATATACTGAGGAAACATATGGTGCCTTTAAGAAACTTGAAGAAGAACGTCCCCTTTCAAAGGAACAGAATGCATTAAATAAGACCCAGCCGTTCTCTTTGAAGAAAAGCTGACGACTCACCTTCTGCCAGGGATGCGAATGCATTGACGAGCCGGGCCATGTACTGCCGCACCACCTCGCTCCTGGAGTGCAGCAGCTGGAGCACTCTCCTCTGCGGGCGGAAGCATCCAGAGAGGCAAACGATGAGGTTAAAGGAAACAGAGCTAAACATGCGGCTCCTCTGTGGGTCTGCCGTTCTCTGCCTCTGCGCGCAGTTATTAGAGGTGAAACAGACTGAAGTCAACAGTTCATCTGGAAATCTCAATTTCCAATTGATTTTTTTTTAAAGATTTTATTTATTTATTTGACAGACAGACACACAGCGAGAGAGGGAACACAAGCATGGGGAATGGGAGAGGGAGAAGCAGCAGGCTTCCCGCAGAACAGGGAGCCCAATATGGGGCTCAATCCGAGGACCCTGGGATCATGACCTGAGCCGAAGGCAGACGCTTAACGACTGAGCCACCCAGGCGCCCCTCCAACTGGTTTTTTTATGAGAGTTGACAAGAACAAGTTACTCAGACTCTAAGCTGAAAGACTGAATTATACAGCGCGCTTAGCCAGTGGTTGGCACAAGGGAGGAATGCTGTTCGTGATGACCACTGCTCCTGTTTTTCCAGGTTCATGATAGATCCAATACACGCATCTAATTTTGCTCCCTGCAAACCACAGTAAAGCTACAGTGCGTGGAGTTCTTTAAAAAAGGCATAAATTCTGAAGGACAGAGAGGCAGCACAAGTAATGCTAACAACACGATTTCGGAATCGGGAATGCAGTCACCAGACAGACTTTAGCAGACCCAAGAATACCAAGTCTCGAAGGCAGCAATAGGCAATGAGGAATTACCCAATTTATAGCACTTCATCCTCAAAAGGAAAAAAAAAATAAAGAAGAATGGGTGAAAGCTGTTAAAGCTGCAGCTGGGTCCCACTCTTGCTGTTCCTCCCTACCATCCTCCTGCCTACTTCCCCCCATCAGTCTGGGGGTACTCCCCTGCAAGTCTAACGCGAAAGGTTTCTGGGGCTGTGAGGAGTGAGTTGGACAGGTAGGCAGCCAGGGCCAGGGTCCCCAACAAGAAAATATGGGGACAGCTAAGATAAAATAGCACTAACGTCCTGTTTTGCAGCTTAGACAGGATCACACTTGCATTCTGTTTTGCAGCCTTTGCAGAAATGACTTCTGCAAAATGTCCTAAAATAAGACCATTAACCACAAGCATTTGTCAATATCACGGGCAAGGGGCAGTTAAGACCTAAGCCCCCAGATGTCAGCAAAAAAAGACCATCAGCACAGAGACATTAACCTAATAGGTAGACAGATATGTGACCAAAGCCCTGATTGGCATGACTCAGCACACCCTGCTTGCTTAAGACAGTTTTGCAGAAGAGCTGATAAAAACCCCTCAACTTAGAAACTCCGGGGGCAACCCACTCAGGCCCCCCGCCCTCTCCGGGAGCTTTACACTCTTGCTCAATAACCTTTGTTTTGCTGCCCACCACTCTTTGTCTGGTCTACCTCTTCGTTCTTTGAAGTGGCGTGACTGAGAACCGTGGGCACCCAGGGCACAAAAAATCCTATTAACAGAGGGAGACACCTGGCACAGGTGAGCAGGGCTTCTACACCCAAATGGGGAGAAGGAACAGTGCCTAAATGCAGAATGAATACTGAACAGAGAGCACCCCATCCTATTCTCCTACATGGCTCCCAGAAGGCTGCACCCAGAACTTCACCCTCTAGGTAGGAGATCAGAAGACTCTTCTTGGAGGAAAATGACCACCAGCCCAAGAGAAAAGAACCAGAGATCCTAAAATCAGAGGTTCCTACTAGAAAGCCCACCTGGATCACCCTCAGTGGAGCTCTGCATCTCCAGTCCATACCCTCATACTCAGAATTTCCAACCGGCTTTCATTCCCCCACTCAAAACATTATGAGATAACCAAGGTCTACCAGAAACCCAAGGCAAGTTTCCAATATGGGAGACAGGGTTAAAACAAATGGTGGGGGCAACCCGAAGGAAATGGGACTGTGCAGGGAGAAGAAAACCAGAGATAAGCGAAAATGTGTCACTCATAGTAGCCTCAGAGACACAAGAGGCTCTACTGTATCCATGAAAAAACAGATTGCCATAAAAAGGGGAAGTGAAGAACTCGACAGAAGGGATGGAGAATAAAGATGAGATCTCCCAGAAAGCAGAGCAAGAAGAAAAAGAGAAAATATGAGAGAAAAGACAGAATCAGAGGACCAGTTCAAGAGGTCCAACATTCAGAAAGAGAGAGAACCGAGAAAACAGAGAGGAAATCATCAACAAAATAAAATCGAGAAAAGTTCCCAGGACTGCACTTGTCAGATGGAAAGGACTCCCAAAGCACTCAAAACAATGAATCAAAATACACCTCATGAAAGACATCAGTGCGACATCTTTTAACACTGGTGATAGAGAGGAGACTCAACAGGCTGCTAGGGAGAAAAAACCAGGCCACATACAAAGGATCAGGAAATAGAATGGCTTTGGACTTCTCAACAGCAACACTGGAACCTAAAAGACAACGGAGCAAGATCTTCCAAGTAATGAAGGAAAATTATTTACAACTCAGAATTTCATACAAAGAATAAAGACTTTTTCTGACATACATTATCTCAAAAAATCTACTTCTCACTCATCCTTTCTCCGAAAGCTATTAACTATAGGATGTTACTCTCTCAGACCAACCAAGAGAATAAGAAAGAATAGTGATTCTCGAAAGTGTGGTCCTGGACCAGCAGCAGCAGCATCACCTGAAAACTTGTTGGGGATGCAAATTCGCAGGCCCCATCCCAGACTTACTAAATGGAAACTGCAGGGACCCAGTAGTTTGTGTTTTAATGAGGTTTCCAGGCGATAAGACTGCATGCTAAACTCTGAGAACAGCTCAGCTATTAGAACTCACTAAACGACCGGTCCAATTTCCCGGCTGAAAGGGCCAATCTCTCCGGTGTCATGGTGACACGGCATCCATTTTGCTCGAGTTTTCCTGCTCTGCAGATTCTCTGACACCTTAAGATAGCTCCAGCTCATTCCTTGCTTAAAATAAACCATGGTAATTAAAAATAATGACTTGGGGGGGTGCCTGGGTGGCTCAGTTGGTTAAGCGACTGCCTTCGGCTCAGGTCATGATCCTGGAGTCCCAGGATCGAGTCCCACATCGGGCTCCCTGCTCAGTGGGGAGTCTGCTTCTCCTTCTGACCCTCCCCCCTCTCATGTGCTCTCTCTCTCTCTCATTCTCTCTCTCAAATAAATAAAATCTTTAAAAAAAAAAATAATGACTTGGGGAAGAAATGACATGTCTTCGAGGGCTACAGAGATCACAGCACTGTGACAAATATCACAAAACCTAAGACGCCTTTCATTAGAGAACACGTTGTTTTTTATATATACAACCAAGAAAGGCAAGGAGCCAATTAAACTATAACAGGCCATCGACTATTAGATATGCTCTAATTTCCCAGAATCCTAAAATGGGGGGGGGGAATGCATCTCAGATTTAATGAAATAAGATAGTTTTAGAAAGATTCAACATTGAATTTATTCTTCAAATCTGAGTTTGTAAAGTCACAACAATATATTTTTCAGTGCTTCAGGCCTGATAAGTTGGTTTCAATGCCATTACAAAAATAAGCAGAAATAAAAGTAAAAGGAAATAAGTCAAAAATTTGAAAGACTATTTTTCAAACTAAATACAACTCTTTCATGGGAGTAGTAAGACTACATTCAAAGAATAAACTGGCAACTCAAAATTCTCAAACACTACGCCTGTGTGCAGGATAGACTAACGTGTGATTAGCTTCTGCAGGGTGCTGTTTCATCAGCGATCCTAAGGGGTGTCGATATTCCACCCAGTGTACACCCTGTGAAGCTTCAGAATAGAGAGGTAAAGTATTTAGATCATTTTGGATAACACTGAATGCAGATAATGAAATGCAGTGTCCTTATATATGCCATGTTCAAGATCTCACTCCTCCTCCTGTCCAGTGAAGCCTGGTGTTGATAACAGGTAACGGGGTGAGGAGTGGGGAGGGAAACCACCACGTATTGGCTACTCTGTGCTGGCCACTGGGTTAAGTACTTCCCGTGACCAAATGCAATCATTCCCACAACCTCACGAGGCAGGTGATGGCTCCTTCTCCGAGATGGGAAGCGCCCAGACACCCAGTATCTTACTTAAGGTTATCTGGCTCATGGGCAGTAGGGCAGAGGTTTAAAACCAGTTAATCTCACTCCGAATCCCATACTTTGCCCACTGCATCATCAGACCTATCTGGTCCAAAACTATATACAAATATTGTGTTAACATATTTTAAGTCAGGCCCAGATGAAAAACAATTGAATTGGCTTACCCGCCTTGCCTGCCATAAGTCATGCTGAGCTTGCAGGACTCATGGTTAAGGGGTGGAGTGAGAGAAAGAGTTGGGATTTTGGGAAAAGGAAACATGACAGGAAAGAGCTCCAGAGTTGAATCAAGCAGTTCTAACCTGTTTAGGACTCTATTAGAGGTGAAAAGTGGGCCAATGTCTGCGCTGAGTAGCAGATCTCACCAGCTATCAGAAGCTCGAGGTCGACATATGGTCACTAGGCTGAAATATCATATAAGTCAAGCCTCCCCCTACTGCTAAGATCACCCCCTCGAAATGAAGGCCCTGGCTGGGCTCTGGCCCATCTCTCACGGACCTGGCTCTGGCTATGACAATCCAGGAGGTCGTTGCCGATGTAGGCTTCCAGAACGGTCTCCCTCTGCTCTCCAGGATGGGATGTGGTCAAGCGCTAGAATGAAGAAAAAGTCACACACCCAAGTCTTAATATGGAGAAAAATGTTCATATAGTGGGTATCTTTTAAATGGCAGTAGCAGTAACTACACATTTAACCAAACTAAATAATATTCTGGCGGGGGCGGTGGGAGTAGCTACCCAGGCAACCAGTCAACTAACAAGAAGTTGCGATATTATATTTCCTAATGGGTGATGTAGGAGTCAACTCACACACATGAAATCTCCAGAGAAGGGAAGTGATAAAATGCCCAGATGGTAAGTGTATAAATAAGGGAGAGTCCACCAACACCTAGAGGTTTTCTCACACAAAGGGAGAGAAAGGAGGAGCCGACTATTAAGTCAGCACAGGGGAATGTGAGCATGGTGGGAGCGGGGTGGGCGGGGAAGGAAGTGTGGTATGGGTCTGGGGGGCGTGAAAATGCAGGAGGCATGTGGGGGTGGGCACAGGGCAGGTTGTTGAGGGCTTGGAGCCAATGCATCGCCAACAAATTAGACTTTATCCTATAGGGACTGATGCAGCAATACTGCATGCGTGCGTGTGTGTGTGTGTGTGTGTAAGGGGTAGGTGGGTAGAGTTTTGTAGATTCTGAAAGTCATAAGCCTCTTGCATTGTATTAAGGAAGAATTCACTTACTGTCCAGGGGGCTAGAAAAAAAATGTTGTATGAGGAGTGTGTGAAATGTGGGTGTGGGTGTGTACGTGAGTGTGTACAAGCATGAATTCTATGAGAAAGTCACGTAACTAAAGTGAGCAAATGTCCTTGCTTTTCCAGGAAAATCCTACTAAAGACCCCTGAGCCTGTGGGCCCTGTCTCTGCTGAGGAGGGGCTGGACATGTAAAGAACGACACGGAAGAAGACAAGAGCAGCAGAAACCCCCAGGACTGAAAGGTGGAGGCCTCCAGGGGCGGGTGTAGCCAACAGACTGGATCCACCTTGGCCAAACAGGAAGGCCCTGAGGGGAGAGAGCACCAGATTAAAGGAGGGTATGCCAAGAGTGTCACGGGTGGGGGCTGCCGCCCTTCTATCCAGTTCCCTGAAGCCGGGGCCAGGGTGCTGGAATAGGGTGGAGGGGTGAGAAGCCGGAGGGGGACACAGACAGATCTTAAGACACCTTTTTTTTTTTTTTTAAAGATTTTTTATTTATTTGAGAGAGAGAATGAGATAGAGAGCGAGCATGAGAGGGGAGAGGGTCAGAGGGAGAAGCAGACTCCCTGCTGAGCAGGGAGCCCGATGCGGGACTCGATCCCAGGACTCCAGGATCATGACCTGAGCTGAAGGCAGTCGCTTAACCAACTGAGCCACCCAGGCGCCCCTTAAGACACCTTTTTATTCTTCCTGGTTATTCTGTGACAATGTCATTCACTCAGCAAAGGAATACCCTGTCTCACCAAGAGGCTCAGTAGCAGGGACTGAGAGGAGGTGCTGGGGGGACAAACTGGGAGCCAGAGAATGAGTTTGCTAACTTGAGCAGACAGAGGCAATGTGTGGGGTAGGGACGGTCCCCTGAGATTCCTCATGCTGCCCACCCACCCTAGTCAGCTGAGGCAGACATCACCAACTGACCGCGGGACTCCTGCTGATCCTGGATGCATCCTCAGAGTACTCCTCAAGACCATATTCCAGGAAGCACGACCAACCATCAGAAGTGCAAGTGAGGAGATCTTTTTCTATAGTGATGGGGAAATTACTCAAAGCCATTTCTGACACCAACATACCCTGAAATTTAGGGATCCATGAAGGGGTCTGACACGATTACAGCCTAAGTTAGAATGGATCATTCAGTTAAAGAGCCAACCAGTGTGGGCCTAGACCGGCAGTTCTCAAAGTGTAGTCTGTGGAATCCTAGGGGTCCCCAAAGACCTTCCAAGGAGTCTACAAGGTCATGATTATTTTCATAATAATACTAAGATATAATGTATCTTTTTTAAAAGATTTTATTTTATTTCTTTTTAAGATTTTATTTATTTATTTGAGAGAGAGAGAGAAAGTGCACAAGCAGGCGGAGGGGCAGAGGGAGAGGGAAAAACAGACTCACTGCTGAGCAGGGACCCTGACGTGGGGCTCAATCCCAGGACCTTGGGATCATGACCTGAGCCAAAGGCAGATGCTTAAACTGGACTGAACCACCCAGGCGCCCCTAAACATTTTATTTTTTTAAGTAATCTCTACACCCAGCGTGGGGCTCGAACTCAAGAACCCGAGATCAAGAGTCGCATGCTCTACTGACTGAGCCAGCCAGGAGCCCCTGATTTACCTTTTTCATGGTCAATCTCTCAGAGGCTATATGAAGTGTGACACTGTGATCAATCAATTGGGGAAGCAGATGTGAGAATCCAGCTGTCCCTCCATCAGGCCAGACATTAAAGAAATTTGCCAAAATATAAAACAAAATATAAAACAATTTCCTTATTAATTTTTTTGTTTGGAAAATAGTTATTTTTAGGGTGCCTGGGTGGCTCAGTGGGTTGGGCATCTGCTTTTGGCTCAGGTCATGATCCCAGGGTCTTGGGATTGAGCCCCACGTTGGGCTCCCTGCTCAGCAGGCAGCTTGCTTCTCCCTCTGACCCTCCCCCATCTCGTGCTCTCTCTCTCTTTCAAAATAAATAAAATCTTTAAAAAAAATTTTAAAAAGGAAAATGGTTTTTTTTTATATTTAAAAATATGTTATTTATGTTATGTTCTGGGTTCATTACTGTTCATCTTAAATGAATGAATATTTAAAATGTTCTCAGTTTTGGGGCACCTGGGTGGCTCAGTCGTTAAGCGTCTGCCTTCGGCTCAGGTCATGATCCCAGGGTCCTGGGATGGAGCCCCGCATCGGGCTCCCTGCTCGGCGGGAAGCCTGCTTCTCCCTCTCCCTCTTCCCCTGCTTGTGTTCCCTCTCTCGCTGTGTCTCTCCTCTGTCAAATAAATAAATAAAATCTTTAAAAAATAAATAAATAAAAATAAAATGTTCTCAGTTTTAATTAATTTAATATCTACTATAAATATTGGTAGATAAAATTCACATAAACTAAAGCCTTTAAGGTCCTCAGTAATTTGAGAGTGCCAATGCATCTGAGACTAAAAATCTTGAGAACCACTGGCTTAACTGGGACCAATCTGAAGAGTGGGAAGAAAAGCAACAATTCAGACGAGGCTTGACTTCCCTTAAAAGACTGGTTCATGAGTGTCCACCCCTGCTGTCTCCTTGAGTGGCCCCAGGGAGCACCTAAAGGCAGAGGTCTTTGTGAAGCTGTCACGAGAGTGACTCTGGGCTCTCCCACGCCGACCCTGCGGGCTGGGAGGCTGGCTCACGACTGACAACGGGGACAGGCTTCACACTGCAGAGAGCAAACGACTGAGGGACAGCACGGGCAACTGTGAGGTCAACAGCCGGGTTCTTACCAAGAGGCCAAGGCTGTCTTCAGAAGCTGTTTTTACCTTTAGCTCTTGGTGTCGGCAGGCAGCACGAAGAAGGATTTGTGGTAAATGGGGTACAAGATACAAGCAAGGTAGCCAGCCAAGAAAACCGGCACGGTCTTTTTTTTTTTTTCCTTAACTTCAAGGGAAAGGTACATACCCAGCGCAGAGCCTGCAACAAGAAGGCTTTCAAGCGGTCACTCCCCAAAACCAAATCCTTCTTCAGTTTCTCATAATCCAAGGAGGGCAGCAATGGGACATCCTTCAGCTTCCTACTCAGCCACACAAGTTCAGAGAAAGAGAAAAGGGCAAAAGGGCACATTCGTTAGACCCCCTGAGTATCGGGACACCAGCGGCGGCCCAGCTGTTTTCTCCGCTCCTGGAACCAAGTCCAGGCTCCCCGCCCCTCCAGCAACATCGAGCTCAGTTCTGCCTGTGGATGTACTGGGACTTTGTTGAACATCTTTCCCTGAATGAGGAGTCCCTGCCTGACCAGGTTTAGAGAGCACTGTGTTCACACTGGGCCAGGGCTCCGTCCCACAGAGATGGAATCACCTTGGAGGCACCAGAACTTGCTGCACCACTCAAATCCTATTTAGAATCTAGAGCAAAGCCCAAAGACCACCAGCAGCAGCCCGCAAGAGTTCTCCCTAAAAACCTGCAGCCGCCGTCCCGCTCAAGCCCCAGGCACCGAACTGGGGGGATGCGAAGGATAGACCAGGGTTAGAAAACAACTGTGAAGAGCAGGTGCACAGTCGACCCCCAAGGCAGTAAAGGGTGTGTTAGGAAGTAGCGTGGGTTCATATCTGGGAGAGTGGCAAGTAGGACAGTTGGCAAACCCTTCTCGAGAGGACACAAGTGGAGCCCTCAGCAGAAGCCAGTTTCTTTTGTTCCACAGGAGGGGACTGGAGTGCATGGGAGAACCAGTGAAAAGGGAGCGAGGCCTGCTTGCTCCCTAACAGCACTGTACCCATGTTAACGTCCTTGCTTTGATGTTGTACTTGTCACAGAAGATTCACCATGGGAGGGGGAGGGGGCCTGGGGATTCAACTTCCTGTGACTCTATAAATCATTTCGGCATAAAACAAGTCAAAAACAACAGTATGGTTTTCCTGACACTGTGCAGGGAATATTAATACTAAGATCAAAACTCCCGGCACAATACTAAATGAGGGCTCATGAGGACTTGGGTGAAAAGATGCATGATGATGGGTTCTGGGGTGCCCAAGCTGGCTCATTCGGTACAGTGTGCAACTCTTGATCTTGGGGTTGTGAGTTTGAGCTCCATGTTGGAGGTAGAGATTACAAAAATAATAAAATCTTAAAAAAAAAAGATGAAGGGTTCTTCTGCTTTTCATTGACGTGTAACCGAGCTACATTACGTTCGTTGCAGGCCTACGACATAATGAGTCGCCATTTGTACATAGTGTGTAGTGGTCACCACACTCTCTTTACCCTCTGTCACTATACAAAGTTCCCATGTTTCCTTTCTTGGGATAAGAATTTTTTTTTAAAGATTTATTTATTTACTTATTTATTTGAGAGCGGGAGAATGAGCGAGAGAGAGAGAGTACATGAAGGGGGGAGGGTTAGAGGGAGAAGCAGGCTCCCCAGTGAGCAGGGAGACAGATGCAGGACTTGATCCCGGGACTCCAGGATCATGACCTGAGCCAAAGGCAGTCGTTTAACCAACTGAGCCACCCAGGTGCCCACGGGATGAGAATTTTTAAGATTTACTTTCTCAGCAACTTTTAAATTTGCAATACAGTATTTACTGACTATAGCTCCCAGGCTGTCCACTGCATCCCAGCAGTTTCTATTTTATAAGTGCAAGTTTGTACCTCTTGGTCTCCTTCACCCATTTCAGTCGTTGCATTAGTTTTAAGGGGTGGAACAGAGTAAGGGTGGGTGGAAGGTGGAAAGGAGGTAAGACCCCAGCGGGACAGCATTTAGGGTACTGTAAATTTTCTTTCTATGTGCCTATAGCATTCAACTTTTCTATAATGAGCATGTATTACATTATAAAAAAATACTACATGCTAGTTTTCTTAATGTTAGTTTTTAAAAGACAAAATGAGATCCTCTCATAAGGCCCAGGAGAAAAGGCCTGAGAATGGGGCAACAGAGATCTCAGTAAACACTCCTGGGAGGAGGTTCTATTCTGCACATCACACAGCAGAGCCACGCACATGTGCACACTGCTTATTCTGACACGTATTTTCCTGAGGCAGATACTACTGTGTTTAAAATGAACACAGACACTTTAGAAATTCCAATTACAAAGAACAGGCCAGTATTCTTCGAAAATGTCAAGGCCATGAAAGAGTCTGAAGAATGACTTCAAAAGAAAGGAAACAGACAGGACAACCACATCAACGTGTGACCCTAGACTGAATGCTGGGCCAGACGAAGGACGCAATAGAGCAGCTGGTAAAATGCGAGGAAGGCCTGTAGGTGAGATGATACGGCGTCAGCATTAATTTTCTGACTTTGATAACTGTACCGGGCTTACGCAAAATATCAACATGCGGAATCTGGGTGATGGGCATAGGGGAATTCTTTGTACAATATGTGCAGCTGTGAAATTATTTCAACATAAAAAAAGATTTTTTAATTTAAAATTTAAACAAGGTCTTGTTCTAGACAAAAAAGTTCCATTTGTAAAGCCACGTCTAAAATTGTTCTATAGCTGGGGTGCTTCTTCTGGAGGGAAGAGAAGCTATCAAACGCAGGCCATAGTTACTTGCCCATAATGGCAATATTAGCCACTAAATTTATCGCCAATTAAGTTGCTCAGCAGCCCCACATTTCTGTGGTTCAGCCCCTCTCCCACTGTCCAAGAAGACTGTGTCATACCTTCTCCTTTGTCCCCTTCAGCCCCTCCAATGACTACCCCCTTTACTCTCTGCGGGTAAGCTTGCCTCTTACACCACTGGGAATAACATTAGCAAACACCCAGAGAGTTTATTAAGTCCTCCAGCATTGTACTAAGTGCTTTATACACATGAACTCATTTTTATCCTCACAATAAGCCTATAAGAAAGTTATTACTATTACTGTCTTTTCACAAGTGAAGAAACTGAGACACAGGGAAGTTACATAACTGGTCCAAGGCCACAGAGCCGGAAGCAAAGGAGGGATTTTAACCCTGGCAGTCTGTCTCATACGCACTACATTATAGAGCCGCTGTCTGAAGAGAACAAAGTGCAGGGTCAGTGTCAGACTCAGGCAGGACTGAGGGAGGAGGCAGGCTGTGTCTCTCTCAGGTGTCTGAGTAATCTGACAGCACCCCCGAAACCCCACAACAAGGGTGGGGCTCAGAGGATCACCAGAACCCACCCTGGTCCTCATGCCTCTGCCAAAGGTTCTCAGCTTCCTTGTTACTGCAACATACATACCAGATGAAGTTCCCAAACATCAGACACCCACACGGGTGACAACCTAATCGATTTGGATAGGAATGCTCAGGCATCCACAAAGCTATCCTGTGGCCCTGGTCCCATGTGAGCCAGCAAAGAACATAAAATTTAGACATTGCAACACTCTGTTGACTGCCCTACAATAGAAGATTAATCTCTACAGAATATCATAGGAACAATTCAACAATTTTTTTCCATTTGATGTGATCTCTCCAAAATAAATAGAATTAATACTAAAAGATACTTTTAGTTTAACAGTATTACTTAGAATTACTGGTACTTCCTTTATATCCACATGGAGCTCTAGCTAATCAAAGGCTCTCCTCTAAGCTAGGCTGTTAAGATGAACGTTTATTAAAGTTTGAGTTCTAGTTTTACTTAGAGCTGTTTACCATCCTAACAATTCCTAAGAGCAATTACTTACCCGGGTGCCAAGGAGGCTCTTAACATGGTTGAAGCCTAGAGGTGGGGGGTGGAAAGAGAAGAAGAGAGACCGTGTTAAGCAGTGAGAACAATGCATTAATCCTAAATCACTCTACTCACACAGAATCAACAGATTTGCAAGTTTTTGATCCATCAGGATTCTCCTATCATAATCATATATGATTTAAAAATTAGCCCAAACAGGGACGCCTGCATGGCTCAATTGGTTAAGCGTCCAACTCCTGATTTCAGCTCAGGTCATGATCTCTGGGTCATGAGATGAGCCCGGTGTCAGGCTCTGCGCAGAGTCTGCTTGTCCCTCTCCCTCGGCTCTACCCCTGCCCCCAGGCTCGCAGGCATGCTCGCTAGCACACTCTCTCTCTAAAACAAAGAAAGAAAGAAAATTTTAAATAAACAAATAAAATAAAAAATAAAATAAAATAAATAAAATAAAATAAAATAAAAATTAGCCCAAACTGAAGTTAAGCTACACACTACTCAAGTAGTTCCCAAGCTGCCTACCACCCTTGGTTTGTTGCGACTCTGCTCCAAGGAGTACTCCATAAAAAAACAAGCGGGTTCTCCCCAGCCAAACTCTGAGAGGCGCTTAAAGCTGCCTAGTCAGATGTCACAGAGAACAAAAGCAATGAAAATCGCTTTATTATCCTGACTTTTTTCTTAAATTAACTATTTTTAAAATTTTTTTTTAATATTTTATTTATTTATTTGAGAGAGAGAATAAGAGATAGAGAGAGAGCATGAGAGGGGGGAGGGTCAGAGGGAGAAGCAGACTCCCCGCTGAGCAGGGAGCCTGATGCGGGACTCGATCCCGGGACTCCAGGATCATGACCTGAGCCGATGGTAGTCGCTTAACCAACTGAGCCACCCAGGTGCCCTGTCCTGACTTTTTTCTTTATTAAGATTTTCTCCTTAGGGGCGCCTGGGTGGCTCAGTCGTTAAGCGTCTGCCTTCAGCTCAGGTCATGATCCCAGGGTCCTGGGATCAAGCCCCGCATCGGGCTCCCTGCTCAGCGGGAAGCCTGCTTCTCCCTCTCCCACTCCCCCTGCTTGTGTTCCCTCCCTCACTGCGTCTCTGTCAAATAAATAAATAAAATCTTAAAAAAAAAAAGATTTTCTCTTTGAGTATAACAATAACATGCACTTGGTACCAAATCTAACCCTATAGAGGTGTTTATAGAAAATCCCCCTCCCACCCTACTCCCTTTTAATCCTATTTATAGGCCAAATCACTGCCCACTGTATGGATATTCAGTGTCCTACTCATTGTTTGTTTTGTTTTTGCCACTACAAACAATGCTGAATTAAACATGTACTAAAATAGACTAGAGAAACAAAAAACCAAATGTTGTGTGTGGTGCTTGGTTGGACCAACTCAAACCAACTGTAAAAGATGTTTTGAGACAATAAGGGAAATCTAAGTATGGACCACACTGATACTGTTTGATACTGAGGAATTCGTGCCAATTGTATTTGGCATTGCAGTATGTTTGCTTTTTGTTTTGTAAAGCCCTTATCTGTTAGATAAATATATTGAGTTATTTACAGGTAAAGTGATAGAATGTTTGGGATAGGTTCTAAGGAACTCCAGGAAAAAAAAGTAAGGAGAGGAGAAGAGAAGAGATCTTGGCCCTCTGTGGAGCTCTTCCAGAAGTGGTGGGCAGTGGATTTCCGTCTGCTCTGTGTCACCACAGCTCTTGAATGGTCATTATCCACACTTATCGCAATGAACTGTGATTATTTTGCAATGATTTCTGTGCTTTCTCCTTTAGCAGATACCGAGTTCCATAACAAGTGGAGATATATTACCCTTTATACATGTACCCAGCACCTGGTACAGTGCCTGGGCATACAGAGGCACGTGATCAACATTTGTTGAATGAATGAATGAATGAATGAATCAATGAACGAATGAATGATGACTGACTTCTCAACATGGGCTCTCCAGAATCCTTGACTGATAAACTGGCCCTAGTTGATGATTCCATTCTCGATTGCGTCCGTCTGCAGTATTTACAGGCCACACAGATTCCCACCTTGGAGATAGCAAACTTCACTTTTAAAGGGCTCATGACCATGTATGTTTTTATATTTTTTAACCCTTGACTTTTTTTTTTAATTAAAGGAAGTGCCTATTCCTGTTATTGGCTTAAAGAGCAAGGAGTTGAGAAAATAAATTTGAAATGTATATAAATTACTCATCTAACACATTAAGACGACCAAGAAGCCAAGATAATAAGTCAAATGAGTCAAATAAGGGCATAGACATATTAAAATATTAGCTTAGGGGCGCCTGGGTGGCTCAGTCGTTAAGCGTCTGCCTTCGGCTCAGGTCATGATCCCAGAGTCCTGGGATCGAGCCCCGCATCGGGCTCCCTGCTCCGCGGGAAGCCTGCTTCTCCCTCTCCCACTCCCCCTGCTTGTGTTCCCTCTCTCGCTGTGTCTCTCTCTGTCAAATAAATAAAGTCTTTAAAAAAATAAAATAAAATAAAATATTAGCTTAATACAAACACAAAATAAAAATATTTTTAGGGGTGCCTGGGTGGCTCAGTCTGTTAAGCGTCTGCCTTCGGCTCAGGTCACTATCCCAGGGTCCTGGGATCAAGCCCCACATTGAGCTCCCTGCTCAGAATTTCTACCTGAGCAGAGAGTGAAATGGAAGCATTATGTCTCCATCGCTGCTCAGCTGCAGGCAAGGAACCTGAGCCTGGCCCTCAGCCGTTACTGCTCCCTGAAGCCAGTGGTCATGGGGTGGGGACAAGGATGGATGGGGGCCACATGAGCAGGCCAACAGTGAGATGAGGAGCTTTGCCCATGTTTTGTGACATCAGAAAGGGTTTTGAGAGATCGGTCTAAGCTGTAACATGACAAAGTGTCCCTTGGTCAAAGCGTCTACAGATGTACCAGGTGGGACTCTTGAAGAGTCTTTAGTGCACTGCTGAGTGTTGTGAATCTCAGAATATGGCATGTCCCAAACTTCAAACATCAGCCGTTGGCTTTGGGGACAGCAAACCCTCTAGGATTAGTGTCTGTAGGCACTTGCTTTGGAAAAAGCTGCTCTATAGAACGTCGCTACCGCCAACTCTGCAACACTAAGGGCTACTTGCACAACACGGGACTGCAGGGGTACGTGCAGGAGGGGAGGGCTGAAATGAGACACTGTGCACATGGCATTTGGAAATGCGGCTGAGTCAGTGGAGTGGGAGTGCCGAGTTCCTGAACGCGCTTTCCGGGCAGGTGCCTCTCTGGCTTACCAGGTCACAGAGGGCACCACCCTGGGCCCTGCCTCCACCCTGTAGACTGCAGGCATCTGAGAGCCTGGGGCTAGGCAAGGTATGCGGCAACAGGCTCACTTGGGGAAGTGCTAGGGGCCGGGGTGCTGAGGCCTCTTGGGCTTTCTGTGACCAGAGCTGAGCGTGGAGAGACAGATGGGTATTAGATCACAGAAGGCTGTGGACTCCACGCTGAGCACTTTGGACCTGGAGCAACGACAGGTATTAAGCAAGACAGTAACATGATAGATGCCTGTACGTACCTACATCCCTCCTGAAACTTGAGGGCATAAATAAATAAGACACAACCAGAAAGGTCACCCCCGCTCCCGCATGCATGAGTAATCCGATAGGTGAGAGCTTTCAGACTGAGACCGGTTAGGAAATGTTGCTTTAGCCAGGAGAGAAAGAGGAAGAGCCCGAACAGACACAAAGCAACAAAGACATGGGGCAGGAGGGAGGAAGGCGCTCAGATCCCTAGACTGCCTGAACATAGGGCCCGAAGGAGGGAAGAGGCTTGGATGATTCACAGGTGTTCTCTGGAGTGTATTTGCCAAGACAGGAAGTACAGGAGGGGAGACCATCTGTCTGGAGGAAAAGATGAGGCTGTTTTTGGACGTAGAAATGGTGTGCCTATCAGACATTCACAGGGAGAAAGCTTGTAAGTCTGAGTCTGGAAGTCAGAAGAGAAATCTGAGCTAGAGGTACAGACACCCTCTGCCAATCACGGTCCCACCAACTGGCTGAGATCAAAGGTGGTCAATCCTCACATCACCAGCGTCAGCTCAGGTATGGGCACTGGGGTAGGAGGTGTAGCAGGGAGAGGTGAGCTAGGTGTGCAACTCCTCCTCAGTACAACGGAGCATGAGACCCAAAAAGGCTGCCTTGAGGTGCAGTGGCGAGGCAGACAAGGAGCAGGCATCTTGCCAAGACTTAAGAAAGCAACATAATGGACAATGTAAAGTCTGATGGTGTTGAACTTTAAGCCAGAGCCACCGTCCACGCAACAGCAAGCTTTAGGAAGAATCCTCCTCAGCAGAACGAATGCCAAGCAGTGTTTTGTGAGCAACCGCATGAGGCCATCCAAGAAAGGGTCACCACCACCAGCCCCAGCCCCCTGCAGGTTTTTATTGCTAAGAAGGACGGCTGATTTTCAAGTAAATGCTTTCTAAGATTTGCATGTCCTGAGCCTTAAATATATATAATGCAATCACACCTGGCAGTATTTTAACTTATATTCCCAATGGGGTCTACTTGGGAGTTGCTGAAAAAGAATTAATTCCCAAATGGGCCATTTTTCCAAATAAGGTTGTATTTAAATGAAATGTCTCCAGCCAATGAACCCCAAAACCCACAGGTACCACTAGGTAGGACTTGGGACTCACCCACAGGGCTATGCTTGGGTTTCCACCTTTGGAGTCAGCACTGGACTCTGTATCATGGTCAACCGTCCCCCTCCTCACTCCTGCCCTACAATGGACGCTCTACATGGGTAAGGATGGTCACTCTCCTCCATCAGGCACTTCTTCCCTGGGGTGTCTCTGCATTTGTACCTACCCAGTACAAACAGAGGACTAAGAAGAGAGACAAACCACGGTGCTTTCCCGTGCTATCTGCAGATACAAAGATGTATGCTGCATCATTACCAGAAACAGCAAAAAACTGAAACGCCACCTAAAGGTTTGCAAGAGGAATGGTTAAATGGACCATACTGCTCTTAAATTACAACTCTAAAAGATAAGGAAAATATGAATAAATCCAGAAGGATATAGAAAACTCTTTAAAACAACTGCAGAGTGATATGTCTAATAAAAACCTTAATTCTATATAATTTTTTAAAGTCTGGAAGGATGGATGTGAAACAGTCACCAGGGTCACCTATGGAGGGAGAGGAGATGGGTAAGTGTGAGGGAGAGACGGGTTTGTGTTCACGTTACTATTAGATTGTTGTTTTCCAGTGAGCACATTTGTGTATTACTTGTACATGTACAATCTTAGAAAACAAAAAATCCCTGCCTTTTGTGCCCTGAGGGAGAGGTTTCCCTTCTTACAATGATCAGATTGCTGAAAATGTAAACACAGATTTACCTTGTCTCCCAGGAGATAGTACCCATGGTCTGGAGCCTGAGCTGGTGACGAGAGCAGGATGACAAACCAGGGGGTAGGGTGGTGACAGGCAATCAAACTCGAAGGGGCCACCTGAGAGAGTTCTCTTTTCAAAAAAATCAATCCCGCCATTATTAGTCCTTCTGGGAACATCGGAATTTGATCACCAGCTCTGCTCATGTGAGTGGAGTTCTGGACACAGTTATGTGGGCATGAACTAGGCCCCACTCATGGTGTCTCCTCTGCAGGGCCCTGCACCAGCATAATCCCCCTGCTCCAGGGCGTGAATTCCTGGCTTTGGGGGTTTGGGAGAGAACTGGGCACGCATAGCCCTGCTCCCTGCTTCCCGGCTGGGGGAAGATGAGCGCTCCCAGGGAGCAGAGGTCAGTCCTAGAGCCCTTGGGTCCTCGCTGCCAGTGGTGCTGGGAGAGGGGAGGGGCCTGGCTAGAGCTGGCCGTCACTGGGTGGCCACATTTCTTGAAGGCCAGGATTTAAATGTAGGAAACCCACCTGTCTACAAAGAAAATCCACCTTCTCCAACATAAGCTTCATCAGAGTTGATGGCAATATTGCCAGCCCCTTTTTCCTTTATTGTCCTATTTTCCAAATGGTTCAGAACTCGGGGGTTAGAAGGGTGTTATTTACCGAGTCCTTCTGAACTTTCAACAGTGAGTGAGGTTGCAGAAGGCCAGATTCTTAACAGCCAGTTTTAAAGAACAGTATCAAACGTACTAAACTTTATGGATACCAGCAGCGTTCTGATGGGCCCGGGCCAGCTCCTTTAGAGGGTACAACGAACTGGAACACTCAAGGGCAACAGAACAGAGAGGAGCTGATGGAGGACCACACTAAAGGGCACGCCGGGCCGTGCCCACCTCTTTATCTCGAAACTGATGGCATTGTGTTTGGACCTAGCGTAGAACTTAAACCCCCGGCAAACAAGAAAGCGGCCCTGCTCTCAGTCCTGCTGTTCACCCACCAGAATTCCTATCTAAGTTGTACCTTCACACATTATAAATCCAATATCCTACACTGACTGTCGGCTTGCCCAGCCAACTATGTTCTATTATACTTTTACAAGGATGTTCTTTTACAGTGACTCACATCCACTTTTTATCATCTTAGAGAGAAATCTATGGGAATAATAAAAGATTGTTTGCAGCTTTTATTGCCTGTTCCTAAGTCAGTGACTCAGGAGAAAGAAAATGGTTAGGAACTAAGATAAACAGAGCTCATCCTCTCTCTTCTGGCTTCTAAGCCCAGAATCTGTACCTTAATACCACTGTAACAGGGAAGGATGATAGCACTAGTCTCTTGACAAAAGACATGAATGTCTAATGGGATAAAATATCAGATATGTTGTGCCCCCCCCTTTTAAACTGCTCCTTATTAACATGATATCCATTTTAAATAAGCTGGATGCATCACTCCGCCAACACAAAGTGAAAATATAAGGATGCTTGTATATGCAAGATAGGATGGGATTTTATAACACAGACCTGAAAAACACTTAAGTATTTGCTGAACTAATAAATAAGTGGAAGGGAGGGAGGCAAGGAGTAGTCTAGACACAGGTCCTGCTATGCTAATTCCTGCTAGAAAGCCATCTTTTTTGGTAAACATGCTCCTTAACTGACTTACAGCTAAAAGTACAGTGTACACAGAGGGTCAACTCAGCCAGTCCTCGGGGATGTGGCATGAAGCCCCTCATTCTGGAAGGCCCACAAGGAAGTTACTTTTCTGAAACTCGGACGTCTCTGTGCGCTTTCCTGACATTTAAAAATGGCCGATTCCCTAAGATTTCTGCACACTAAAACCACTGTGGCCGCACAGACCCTGCAGCTTCTATTTTTTTTAAAAAAGATTTTATTTATTTATTTGACAGACAGGCAGAGAGAGAGAGAGAGAGAGAAAAAAAAAACAAGCAGGGAAAGCAGCAGAGGGAGAGGGAGAAGCGGGGCTCGATCCCAGGACCCCGGGATCATGACCTGAGCTGAAGGCAGCCGCTTAACCGACTGAGCCACCCAGGTGCCCCCCTGTAGCTTCTATTATCCACGTGTCTATGCCCCTACCACCCACGGCTCTACAATGCTTCTGTGAGCAGCCGAGTGATGGGGTCAGGGACATCTGCTCTCCGCCACGTTACTATGTCCTTCCTGTGAAGACCCACAAAAGAAACTGGCAGTGTAAAGGGCCCAGGGCGGGTGTCAGTGGCCCGGGACTGGTCTGTCCGGGGAATGTGTGGAGGGCTCGGGGGCATTCGGCTCACTGCTGTGCTTCCCACGTTGTGTGTAGCATGTATGTTGTTTCGGGTGCGGTGAAAGGTAGCTAATGAACATCACGCAACTGTCTTTCTTCCCCGGGAGTAAATCATGTACCTGCTCACGGGGCCGTGCGGCACGGGCTGCGAGGAAGCTCTGAGCCGGTCTGTCCCTGCTTCCACAGGTGTCCGGCAGCCCTGACACGCACGTTTGTACCGGCCCTGGCCGGTGCTCATTTGTACTGCCCTACCCTCATTGTCCTTTAACCACAGTTTCTCCCCCCGCCCCCCGCAGCATTACTGAGACGTAGTTGACAGAGGACACTGTGTAAGTTTAAGGTGTACAAAGTGCTGCATTGATACACGTATATACTGTGAAATGATCACTGCAATCAGGTTAGTTAACACGCCCGTCACCTCAGTTACTCTGCGGGCGGTGGTGAGGACATTTAAGATCTACTCTCTTAGTAACCTTCAAGTATATAACGGAGTATTGCTTTTTTTTTAAAGATTTTATTTATTTATTTGACAGAGAGAGAGACACAGTGAGAGAGGGAACACAAGCAGGGGGAGTGGGAGAGGGAGAAGCAGACTCCCCGTGGAGCAGGGAGCCCGATGCGGGGCTCGATCCCGGGACCCTGAGATCATGACCTGAGCCGAAGGCAGACGCTTAACAACTGAGCTACCCAGGCGCCCCTAATGGAGTATTGTTAACATTAGCCACCACGCTATAAAGTCCCAGAGCTTATTCATCTTATAACCAGAAGTTATACCCTTTGACCAACATCTCCCACTTCCCCCACCTCCCAGCCCCAGGCAACCACCACTCTACTTTCCATTTCTATGAGTTCTAACCACAATTTTGTTCTTTCCAACTTCTATTTTTTTTATTTCTCATATTTGTGTTTTCTCATAATAAGCTGCTTCAAACATACTTGAGAATGAAGTAGGGTATACATTTTTCCTTAATACTAAAAAAGGCCTCTGTTTATGAAGACCCTAATATTAATGTGCAAACCCTCCCCCTTAATTAAAAGCCGTGGCTCTGACCCATGGGGGTGCCTCAGGATCCCCTGGCACTTCCTTCCGAACTGAATACGCCTGGCTCCAGCATTGAGCCTGTGGCCCAGACAGCAGGTTGAGGTGAGCTCCAGGGACATGGGTTCAAGAACTTTGAAAACGTCCGCAGGAGACACTGGTGTACTCGTTCCCCAGGTTAAGAACCCCAACACAACACCACATGCCTCTGGATGAGCTATCCTAAGAAGGACGCAACATCACCTAACTAATATTTTGCCCTGGGAGGCAAACCCTGAATCTAATCACGAGGAAATACGAAACACAAAAAGGGAAATGTTCAGTTTTTTAAATGAGGGAACAACTATAGAGGACATGGCTCAGGTGACAAATTGGAACATGCTCAGATAAGGTAAGAGCATCATAAAGACATTAAATTTACTGAAGCGGATCACTGTATGGTTACATAAGAGAATACTCCTATTAAGAACTGAACTCTAGGGGTGCCGGAGTGGCTGTCATTAAGCGTCTGCCTTTGGGTCCTGGGATCGAGCCCCGCATCGGGCTCCCTGCTCGGTGGGAAGCCCGCTTCTCCCTCTCCCACTCCCCCTGCCTGTGTTCCCTCTCTCGCTGTGTTTCTGTCAAATAAATAAATAAAATCTTTATTAAAAGAAAGAAAGAAAGAAATGAACTCTACACTGGAGTAAAACGCCATAATATATGTGATTTATTCTCAACTGGCTCAGAAAATAGAATGTGTGTGTGTGTGTGTGTGTGTGTGCAGACAAAGTAAACAAATGGGCAAAATGCCAACAGTTGCTGGATCTGGGTAAAGGGTATACAAGTGTCCTTTGTGCTATTTTTGTGACTTCTTTGTAAGTTTGCAATTATTCCAAGTAAAAAGTTAAGAAAAGAAAAAGAGAGAGCACCTGTTTTTGACTGTACAGCTTCCAATATGGCAGTTATTTTAAAAAAGAGAATGAAGTTTCCTTCCTTTCCTATTGATTTGCTCATTGTTACCAGTAAGGCCTTGGCACGGAACAGCCCCAGTGGGAAGAGCAGAGTGTACCTCTCTCCCGCCGCCCCCGGGACGCAGGCCCCAGCTGCTCACTCCTCAAAAGCAGCTTTCTTTTCCTTCTGGGACTTTACAGACCTCCGAAATGCAGACTCCTGCATGTTATTTGCCCTTGCTCTTTCATTTTTTTTAGTTAGGCTATGTTTAAATCTGGGGGGCAGCCGCGGGGCCCAGAGCCTCACCGTCCCAGGCCTCGTGAAGTCCACGCTGTGGGCCAGGCTCTGCCGCATCTGGTCACTGAAGAGACGGACACACACGCTCTGGAGGTACTCCGGGGTGATCTGCGGAGAGGGCACGAGGATGGCTGGCGAGAGGCCCAAAACTCCCGCAGGGACATCACGGGCCCCAGCGATTAGCAGAGCCCTCACTGGGATTTCTGCAAGGTGCGCACAGGAGCTCTGGGAGCCAAAGCACTGGGCCCGGCAGAAATAAACCGCTAACATACTGCAGGTATGATCGTGGGCTATCATATTTTGAATTCTGTAATTGCACGAGATGGTACTCTCACGGTCATGTAAAAGAAACTGATTTTAAACCGTTTCTGTGTGTGTGTGTGTGTGAATTCCAGCAGGAAAGTCAATCAGGTGGCCAACGGGTGGTAGAAGGAATGGTGGGCTTAACATCTGAAAATCTGGGCTCAAGCCCTGGACTCAAGAAAACCAACAGCTCTGCCCCTTGGCTTCTGATCTGTTGAGTGAGATGAACAGTCTGCGTCTGTGGGTCATGGTGACAGGGTGAATGAGATCACGCATAGGCCCGACTCAGGCCAGGTCGCTCGGGAAGTGCTTGCGGAATGAATGGTGGAGACATTTTTGATCGAGTGCCGGCCAGCGTGAGGCTGCCCTGCTGTCCCCGTCAATGGCGCTTGATTCTGGCCTTTCTTTAGCACCTCTCCCACCCTCTCGTTAGCTACTGTAACTCAGGACTGGCATACAGCATCTCAGGTGGTAATCTCTGAATTTTTTCTTTTCATTTTACGTCTTCTCTTTTTATAAAACGAATGCACGTTTAAATCGCACAAGTGCCCCAACCTCTCCCCAGTCCCATCCTTCCCCATATGCCAATCCCTGGAGGTAACTATTAACCATTTTGCACCCTTCCAGCCTTTTTTTATGCCTGATTGCCGGAGGGGAAGCTCCTTTTCCCTGGGCTCATGACTCCACGTGGTGAACTCCCACATGATCACGTCACTGGCCCCTCTCCGCACCCTCACTCGGCTGTCCCCATGCGAGGACTATGCAACCCATTCACAAGTTAGACAGAGCTGCAACGCGGAGCTGCACCCACTTCTCTCCTTGGAGGACTCCACTGACCCACTGGAAACTTCTGGTCTGCTTCAGACACACGAAAGGCTCTGTGCACCCATGGCAGATGTCTGTACTCATCCCCTGACACTCAGCTCTATGTGAAGCGACTCAGACAAAGAAGCGCCCCATCTCAGGCCTGCACTTGCCACATTATCCTGCATCCATTTCCTCTGAATTTCGATAGTATCAAAATGTAAACAATTCCTTTCTCCTCCTATATTTTTAACCTTTCCTTTTACACCTTTTCATTGTCTATAACCTAAAAACACATCCGAATATAGTTGGTATTTAAAAAGCACCTTCCCCTTCCTCTACCCTAGGTCTTCATCTATCGACCACCGGCTCAGTATTCTTCCTTCACAGCCAAGGTCCTCAAAAGAACAGCCCACGTTTGCTGTCTCACCTCCCCTGGACCTCCCAACACACTACAATTAGGCTTCCAGCCTCATCACTCCATGGAAACTCCCATGGCAAAGGACACCACCACTGACCTTCTAAATGTCAAAATCATTGGACACTTTTCAGTTCTAGTCTTCTGTGGCTTCTGAGTTTTGCATCACCCCTTACTCCTGAAACTGTTTCCTCCTTTGACTTCTGAAACTGCTACCAGAACCATTTCTTAAACAAGAAAATCTGACTGTGTCACTTTCTTGTTTAAAACGGGTGAATGAGGAAAGGACACAAATAATCAGTAGACTAAAAAGCCAAGTACAAATGGCCAACTAACATATGAAAATATATTCAGCCTCATACATAATTAAAGAAATATAAATTGAAACATTCAGAACACCAAGTTTTACTTAACAAAACCGGGAAAGAGTTCAAAGTATAATCAAAGTATAATAGTCTAGTGCTGGCAAGTGTGTGGAGAAATAAACACTCTGATACAGATAAACTCCTGGGAGGGTTGGGTAGATATCTTTGAACTCTCAGGAGAAATAATTTGGCAACATCTATCAAAATGTTAATGCCCATAACCTTTGACCTAACAATTCCACTCTTAGGATCTTACTTTACCTGTTTTCAAAGGTATACAGTACATACAAGAATATTCATTGCAACATTTTTTTTGTTCTAGCAGACAAAAAATCTAAATGTTCACCATCAAAGATCTGACGAATTATGGTTCACCCTTACAACGGCATAATGTACAAGCCTAGAAAAGAATGAGGGTAGTGTGGTCATGTGGAAAGATCTCCAAGATATACTGAAAGTAAAACACCAAGTTTCAGAAGAATAATGGGTCATAGGATCCCAAGTATATGTAGGCTGCATGCACACACATGCATATGCATAGAAATGTTTGGAAATAATACACAAGAAAATGTTCATCTTGAATACAAATAAAGAAGGGACACTAAGAAACTGTGTCTGGGAGGGTACTTTTGCTCTTTAGTATAGACTACTCAGACTTGTTCCAATTTGTTACCACAAACGTGTATTTTTTTTACATTAAAAACTAGCCAGTTAAAAGTCTGGTCCCTGGCCCTACCGTCACGTCACTTCTCTCCCTGTGCGGTGGCAGTAGGAGCTCACGTGCCCCATCCCTGGTCAGCAGGCCACACCTGACCCCACACGACTCTGGCTCTTTTGGTAGCTGTTGTTTAACAGGAGAGAAGGCAAACGAAGGCATATGCTTTCCTTTTTATTTATTTCTGTATTGTTTGAACCTTCTGTGTGCCCATATTTGTCACCAGAGATTACAGAAGCCATGTATGGTTTCTTTCTGATACTTTTCTTTTTTTTTAAGATTTTATTTATTTATTTGACAGAGAGAGACAGCCAGAGAGGGAACACAAGCAGGGGGAGTGGGAGAGGGAGAAGCAGGCTTCCTGCTGAGCAGGGAGCCCGATGCGGGGCTCGATCCCAGGACCCTGGGATCATGACCTGAGCCGAAGGCACACGTTTAACGACTAAGCCACCCAGGTGCCCCTACTTTTCTGTTTTAAAGAAAAGTCAACACATGCTATTTTTAAAACTAGAAAAAAAGCTAATTAATTTGAAAAGTCCAATTTTTAGGGTATACATTTCAAAAGCTGCTCACTAACTACAGGACAAAGCAAAACTTCCTAAACATGGTCTCTAGGCCTCCCCAGTCTTTGGGAGATGCTCTTTGCCAGTCCGTCTTCCCTGCATCACCTGCCAGCATGTGGCCACCTCCCCAGCTTCAGCCGTTCTGGCCACACCAAGCAACTTGCAGCAGTTTGTGGGCTACGTGTTCACTGGAACAAAGAGGCTTTCAGTACAGGATACTGTAACATATTAAAAAGCTACTACGGTAAAAAATACAATGCATTACTAGCTTAAGAATAGTCAGATCATGGGCGCCTGGGTGGCTCAGTTGGTTAAGCGACTGCCTTCGGCTCAGGTCATGATCCCGGAGTCCTGGGATCGAGTCCCACATCGGGCTCCGGGCTCAGTGGGGACACTGCTTCTCCCTCTGACCCTCTCCCCTCTCATGCTGTTTCTCTCTCTCTCTTGCTCTCTCAAATAAATAAATAAATAAAATCTTTAAAAAAAAAAAAAATAGTCAGATCATGGGGTGCCTGGTGGCTCAGTCGTTAAGTGTCTGCCTTCAGCTCAGGTCCCAGGGTCCTGGGATCAAGCCCCGCATCTGACTCCCTGCTCCGTGGGAAGCCTGCTTCTCCCTCTCCCACTCCCTCTGCTTGTGTTCCTTCTCTCGCTTTGTCTCTCTCTGTCAAATAAATAAATAAAATCTTTAAAAAAAGAAAAAATAATCAATGGAAAAAATTAAAATCCCACTACATGATAAAGGTAGCCATTCAAATTAGTAAAGAAAGACAGAAGTAAATAGTTCTGGTTCAAATGGTTATCTTTTTTGAGGGGGGTAATTTCTTCCTTATATCATCTATTAAAATAAATTCCATATGGATTAAAGATTTAAAGGTAAAATTAAAACAATAAAAACCAAACAAAACGACCAACAGAAAAAAGTTAAGGTGAGTGTTAATTTGGCTCCCTTAGTGGGAAAAGCTTCTTTGTACTTCAGAGCTTCAAAGCACTTTGAAAAGGCAGAGTGAATGAAGGGAAAACTTGATAAATTGATTTGACTATACAAATCCGTAAATTTTACGAAACTAAGAAACACTAATTTAAAAACCAAATTAAAAACCAAAAAACAAACTATGGAAAGTATTTACAAAAGATGAATTCTGAATGGCCTGTGTCTTAACAGTGATGTCCAAAGCTATATTCCTGCTTTCCCCTAAGACCTGTTCCACCCGAGGCTGTCCCTGTCACAGCTGGTGGCGCCGCCCCTGCCCCCCCCCACAGGCCAAAAACGTGGAGTCGTCCGTGATCCCCCCAACCCCTGTCCAGGTCCAAGCCAGCATGAGACACAGTTGGCTCTCTCTCCTAACACACCCAGCAGGGCACCTCTCTGGCCCCACTTGCTACCTCCTCCACCACCAGGTCTGCCCTGGTGACTGCAAGACCCTCCTGCTGGTCTCTCTAGTTCCCCTAACCTTCCAAGGACCGTTCTAAAGCAACGAGAGCTGATACTTCCACAGCATCCAGACCACCCCACCCCACTGCTCTGCTCCCCAGTTTACTCAGAGTAAAGGCCCCATCCTTATGGCCCTTGGACCCCTGACCTGCCGTGTGCCGTTCCTCCTCCCTCGCCGGGCTCCTCAAACAGGAGAGACACACGTCCACTTTTGGTCCTTTGCATCCTTCTCCTTTGGCCTAGAACTCTGGGGAGAATCCCCGAGGACTGCATACCTAATACCCTCACCTCTTCCAATGAAGCTCAAATGAAGCACACCCTGAGTACCAATTTAAAATTGCCCCCTGCCCACATCCCCACACATCCCCACCACAAACTCTGATCCCCTTCACCCCTACAGCGATTGTCATCTTCTAACACATGACGTCATTTATTATCTGTGTTTACGTGTACCGTTTATTAGCTCTCGCCCCTACTGGAATGTATGCTCCCTGAGGTCAAGGATCTTTGTGTTGTCGTCCGATAGATCCTACATGACTAGAACAGGGAGGGCCTGCTGCACAGTAAGCATGCAATAAATCTGTGTTCAACGAATGAGAGAAGCATATAAAAAATGTTCAGTGTCATGTGTAAAGAGTATAATGTGTATTTAAATCCTGAGATACTATTTCTCATTGATCAAATCTGCAAACAAATACAAATGTTAATGCTAATACCCAGGACTGGCAAGGGTATAATGATAAAAAGAACTGCCAGTAGACTCAGATGAGCAGAATCTTCCAACAGGACCTTAGTATAGATTTCAACCTAGAAAACCAACTTTAAAAAATGTAACCGGGGCCCCTGGCTGGCTCAGTTGGTGGAGTGTGTGACTCTTGATCTCGGGGTTGTGGGTTTGAGCCCCATGTTGGGTGTAGAGATGACTTACATAAATAAAACTTTAAAAAAATAAATAAAACTAAAAATGTCACAGAGGCTCATCTCCTCCCATGACATTTATAATTTATGACAGTGGAAAGCTGGAAATGACGTAGATGTCCAACTGCAGGGACTGGACACTAAGTGAAGTATGACAATGCCATATAATGGGATTGAAGCCACTAACGCTTGAGGCTTGTAGAATAATGACTTCAAGAATGCAAGATTCAGTATTAAGGAAAAAAGATTAGAAAACTTTGGGTGAACTAGAGTCCATTTCTGTAAAACACATGTAGCCAAACACTGAAAAAAATACGGAATGTTAACAAGTGTTATTACTAAGTGACACAATTACAGGTAATTTTAATTTCACTTTTGCATTGTTCTCTATTTCTAAAATTTTTATAATACATATTATTTTGTAAGCATATTTTTAAGTCACCAAAAAAACTTATTTTTTTTTAAGTAATCTCTATGTCAAACATGGGGCTCAAACTCACAACCCCAAGATCCCAAGATCGAGAGTCACATGCTCTACCAACTGAGCCAGCCAGGCGCCCCACTAAAAACAATTTTAATACCCAACCTTACATTTGTGACAAAATGATACAGAACTTGATACATGCACATGAGTACAAAACTGGGGAAATCAGAATAAGATCAATAGACTGGATCAATGTCAGCGTTCTGGTTGTAGTACTGTACTACGGTTATACGGTTACCATTGGGGGAAACTGGGCAATGTGCCAAGACTCTCTTTGCATTATTTCTTAAAGTTGCATGCGAACCTACAATTATTCCATTTTTATAGAAAAATGTATATTTCCACAAAGAAATTTTATTATACTTTCTAATTTTTTAGTAAGTGAAACACTAAAGTCATTCCCATTAAAGTCAGAAATAAGACAAGGAAGCCCATGGCCACATTATTTGACAGTGCTCCACAGTCTTAGCCAGTATGCTAAGAAAAAAGAAAAGTCATTACAAATAATGAAACAAAACAAAACAAAAATATTATTATTTGAAGATGGTATGACTGCTAACCTAGAATACAGGAGAATCAATCAAAAGAATCTATCAGATTAACAGAGTTCAGAAGGATAGCTGGATATAAAATCAATATGTGAAAATCTGTAACTTTCCTTTACACCAGCAGCGTATTTCCCTCATTTTTATGCCACTCCATATCATTTTTTTCTGTTGCCAGACAATTTATTCTTTGCTAATGTTAAGAATAAGGTAGAGGAATAAAGATGTGGTCGATAGTGTGTCAGGAAAAATGGATAAAATACTGCAAGCAGCACAATAACCGGTGTGGAATGTCCGCGTGGTCTCCTTTCTGCTCTTGGCTTTGTGAGGCACAGGGGCAGGTCTCACTGGCTGGGAGCGGCCAGGAATCCCATTATCAACACAGCCCATGCTCTTAACACTTCTTTAGCTCCTAACAGACACACGAGTGACTGCGGATCTTTCTTACCATCTTGCCACTGACGGTGGCCTCCAGAGAATCCACCAGCTCTGCTGTGACCCCGATGAGATTGTGGTAGTCTGCCTGAATCTTGTTGTACCGCTTCAGGTACGTCACTGACCTTCGCTCGGCTTCTACCAGCTGCTGGTGGAGCTGCTGCGACATTTCTAGGAAGACAATACATATTGAAACAAATAAACAGTAAGAAAACCCCACAAAATAAAAAATAATCATATTCTTCTCAAGGGAGTATCATGCCTACTTTCAGAATATTTTGCTATCACAATGAACTTGACATTATTTGTGTTTAACACTTTGTTGCTATTTCTCCACATGTTTAATTACCAAGTGCTGTGTAACCACTGATTTTCAATTTCTTGTCTCTGGTAGTTCAACTGAACCATCACTAGTTTTCTTCACACAATCTATTTCCTTGACTGAGCTCCATGCAATTTCTTTTAGTTGTTCTATGTAAAAGAAACGAACTCAGTGTTTCTTTCTACAATCAGCTCACAAACTGGATGAACCGAACCTCTGTCTTTTCCTGGTTTTGCCCTGTGTGTTGTCTGGGGGACAGTATCTGCAGGACAGTTCTTCATTTTAAGTAAAGGTTAGGCTACTTGACTAATGCTAAGAAAGCTAGAATCCAGAATTAGGTAAGGTTCCAGGTGCTCACTCTGCCAGCTTGATAAAGCACAAACCACCCCACTGGGCCTTAGAGCAGGCGGCCTTGGAAGATGTTAGGGCTCTCTTCTTGGACTCCCCACCAGGGGCAGCACTTGATGGCCAAGCCACCCAGGACACAGCTGGAATAGCAAATCTTCATCCATGTCAACACTCCTTTGCCCTATCCTACTTTCCCCCCTCCCAGAAGGCTAAGTTTGGATCGAAGGAAATGACGCTGCCCCCAGACCCAAGTTAACTCCCTCCTGACCCAATCCAGGTACTGCGTAATAGTTAAAAGTCATTGTTTCTGAACACATTTCATCTACACAGAGAGAAATTTTAAAATCATAAAGACCTGGGCTCAAGCCCCTATTCTACCACATTCTTGCTGGATACCTTGGGCAAGATACTTAACTTCTCTGATACTCATTTCTTTCTTTCTATATTTTTTTTAGAGAGAGAGAGAGAGAGAGGATGCATGCAAGGGGGAGGCAGGGCAGAGGGAGAGAGAGAATCCTAAGCAGGCTCCATGCCCAACAGAGCCCAAGAGGGGGCTTGATCTCATGACCCTGAGACCATGACCTGAGGTGAAATCAAGCGTCGGACACTTAACCAACTGAGCCACCCAGGCGCCCCTGATTCTCACGCCTTATGAAATGGGGATGATAATGACCTTGAAGAGTTACTGTGGGATTGTACAGCACAGGGAATACAGTCAATGATACTGTAATAACACTTATCCAGGTGAGCATTGAGTATTGCACACCTGAAACTAATGTAACACTGTATGTCAACCACACTTTAATTTAAAAAAAGCACACATACAAAACCGAGTCATTGTGAGGATTCAATGAACAGATACATCCAAGTGCCTAGCTCACTGCTGGCCCACGGGAGGAAGTCAATAAGTGGCAGCAATTACTACTGTTTCCTCTTTGGGAAGGGCCAAAGATTTTTTTTTTTTTTTTTTTTTTAAAGATTTTATTTATTTATTTGAGAGAGAGAGAATGAAAGATAGAGAGCACAAGAGGGAAGAGGGTCAGAGGGAGAAGCAGACTCCCCGCCGAGCAGGGAGCCCGATGCGGGACTCGATCCTGGGACTCCAGGATCATGACCTGAGCCGAAGGCAGTCGCTTAACCAACTGAGCCACCCAGGCGCCCCAGGGCCAAAGATTTTCTAAATGTATTTCTATGCAAGAAGATAACCTGAAAAACCCAGAGGTTACACTGTAAAACAGTAAGACGCAAAGTTTGAAATATGTTAGAAGCATCCAAAAATAAAGATGATCAAGCCTCACTTCCAGAGACTCTGATTTTGTGGCTGCGGGCTGGGGGCTGAGAAACTGTAGGGTCAACAAAGTCCCCACATGGCTCTGACACATACCACAAGTTTGAGAACGGCCGTCCTAACTCATCTATTCCTCTTGGTGTTCTTTTTTTTTTAAAGATTTTATTTATTTATTTGACAGAGAGAGACACAGCGAGAGAGGGAACACAAGCAGGGGGAATGGGAGAGGGAGAAGCAGGCTTCCTGCCGAGCAGGGAGCCCGATGTGGGACTCGATCCCAGGACCCTGGGATCATGACCTGAGCCGAAGGCAGACACTTAACGACTGAGCCACCCAGGCGCCCCTCCTCTTGGTGTTCTAAAGAGCCATGAAGATCGTGCACAAACTGTATTTCAAAAACTTTGTTTCATGATTATGTGTAGAAGTAAAATATTTTAACTATTAAAACCCAAAACATCATATAATAAGGAACTAACATTATTATTGCTTAGCATCCTTCAAATCTTTTAAACTCCTCTGGCATAAACTTATATCCAGGGGCGCCTGGGTGGCTCCATCGTTAAGCGTCTGCCTTTGGCTCAGGTCATGATCCCAGGGTCCTGGGATCAAGGCCCGCATCAGGCTCTCTGCTCGGCGAGAAGCTTGCTTCTCCCTCTCCCACTCCCCCTGCTTGTGTTCCTGCTCTCTCTCTCTCTCTGTCGAATAAATAAAATCTTTTAAAAATAAATAAATAAATAAAAATAAACTTACATCATGTATTGAGTCTTTGGAGAACATCTCTGGAAATCATTTATCGAGTTTTTACTTAAATATTATTAGGGAGAAGGAGTCACTACCATCTCCCTATGCTCAGTTACATAAACTAGAACTTCTGATGATGAAAATTCTACAGGATGGTTTATAATTCCATTTCGTGGTAATGACTATTAGAGAGCATCTGTGAGAACTTTCTCAACGTGTACCAAGTGGCAAATGACGAATGAAGAACCAAAACCCATTAACTGGGGCAAATGACCTCACAGATCATCAATATAAAAGCCACCAAAGTTGTCCCTCTTGAAAGGGGACTGCACAAAGGAACACTCCCCCTCGGAAACTCACTGTGCAATTAGCTAAATGTAAGGGACCCAGAAATATCTGTGACCATTTCAAACACACCGTTTAGCAGCCTGCTGTACAGAGACTGATACCACCTTGCAGACACCTTAGCTGCCTACAAACAGGACCTGACCATTACTGGAAGCTACTGGGGTTGCAGCTCTAAGATCTCAACTTTATTTCTGAGCATTAAAAAGAACTCTGACTCTTTTTTCCTTCTCAAAAATTTTATGAGACAAGGACGACTGAGCCAACATCCCTAGCCGTGCAAGAGCTCAACTTTTAGCGGAGAGGTCTCATTTCAAATTCCATGTTATATTAATGAAACTGTCTTAGTCTTGGCAGTGATATTTATCGAGACTCTTCATATTTCAAAACTACTGGCAGAATTTGTACCAAAATCCAAAGAACTACATCCCAAGTTTTAAACAAGGAGATATATACAACTAAAAGAATGTGGGTTAAGGTCACAGAAAGTTTCTCGATCATTCCAGCATGCATTCAAACAGTAACAAATGTGATGGAGATCTCCCCTGTGGCCAAGCCTCAAGCTTTCTCTTAACATTTCCACTTTAAGTACATTGCTTTTTTTTTTTTAAGAGTAGATGAGATTTAATTTTAGCGATCCCTTTGTTGCTCAAGACAAAATGGTACATTTTAAAACACGGAACTATTTTTCCAACATCTAAAAATCTAAAATCAATCACTCTAACTTTACAATACAATATACTCTCTCTTCTTTGTATTCAGATATAAATTGGCTCTTTGCTGTTTTGCTAATCCACAAGTACTGGATGAAGAAAGTTATGATGTATAACTATGAATATTGGTCATCATTTTTAAAATACCATTTAAGGCTCTACACTCTAGAAAAATGGTCAGTTGTTCATTTTCTGAAGGAGTCAAATCAATTAATGGCAAAAATGCCAAAAGATACGATTTCTCTACCTTTTTTAGATGGCCAAGTAAAATAATAACACAATACGCTGTATTTCCAACCTGAATTTTTCTTCTAAACTTCATTTTAAAATATAATTCCTTTTCAGAGAATTTTCCACTCCAAGCACTTTTTTTTTTTTTTTAAAGATTTTACTTATTTGACGGAGAGAGCGAGCACAAGCAGGGGGAGTGGCAGGCAGAAGGAGAGGGAGAAACAGGCTCCCCGAGGAGCAGGGAGCCCAATGCAGGGCTCGATCCCAGGAACCTGAGCCGAAGGCAGATACTTAACCAACTGAGCCACCCAGGTGCCCCTCCAAGCACTTTTCTTGCCTCCTTCAAAAGCTTATGGAAATCTTAGCTGATCCATGAAACCTTCCTATCAAGACACACAGAATAATGACTTGCCCAACGATTCAATGTACAAAACAACACCTAAGTCTAGAATTAAATTAAACTGGGGGCATGTCTGGGCTTTGAGATCACTGCAGCCATAAGTGTGGGAGGAGGGGACAAAGTGCAGACAACCGGCTGTCATGACACCGGCCGGGCCCCTGGTACCAGGGCTGGTGCTTATCTCTGGTCTCCATGGCAATGCTGCATTGGCGCTTATTCAGCCACAGCCACACGCTGGGCCTGCCACTCTCAATTCCACAGAAATTCTGCTTGGCTTCCTCAGAAAACTCAATTAAAACTGAACCTAAAAAAGGCTCAGACACCCTGGTCTCCTTGCTGAAATCCAAAGGAAAGATCTATAGAAAAACACAGGCTCTTCCCCTCCCAGATTTTGCACTCCCCCTCCCAGATTTATTTTATCTGTAAAATTGGGCTACTTCTCAGAGACATGACTGGTTCCTGGCAGAAAGCTATCCTCTGAAGCTGCAGGGTATGTTGGGATGACAAGGGCTGGCTGAGATTCAGGAATCGGGGAGGTTTCCCACCACTTTCCCTCCACCAGTACCTAGGAGTTCAAAGACCGAATCTGAACAGAGGCCAAGCAGATTCAGTCAAGAACTAAGGCGATCTTCTGAAACTCTTAAGGATGCAGGCTGAGGTAGTGGTTTTAAAATGAGTGCCCCGTCTTTGACACTCCTTCCTATCAAGAGGTGGAAGGTCATTCTCCTTCCTTTGAATGTAGATTGGCCTTAGGAATTGCTTCTAATGATAATGTAGCAGAAATGACACTGAGTTACTTGAGAGGCTTGTTTAGAAAAGGTGATGCAGCTTCCACTGGCTCTGTCTGGGGACATTTGCCCTTGGAACCCAGCCACCACGCTGCAAGGAAGCCTAGACCATGTAGGAGTTCCACTCAAGGGCCTCAGCACCAGCCACCAGACTTGTGCAGGTGGGTGAGGAAGCCTTGAAGATGGCTCCACCAGGCTCCATCGGCATCCAGGAGACACCGAGGGAGAACTGCCTGAGCACACAATTCCCAGACCATGCAAGATGGTGATAATAATATAAACGGACATTGTTGTTTTATGCCACTAAGCCTGAGATGGTGCACTAGGTTGGAACAGAAACAGAAATAGTGGGGCAAAGCTGCATTTCCAGGAATTGCAGGGCAGGACCCAAATGCCCAGCGCAATTTATGAATTCCCACTGTTCTGGGGGCGCCTGGGTGGTTAAGCAACGACTCTTGGTTTTGGCTCAGGTCATGATCTCGGGGTCCTGGGATTCAGCCCCACATTGGGCCCCGTGCTCAGCGCAAGGGTCTGCTTGAAGACTGGAAAGGGTATATGATGTGTTTCATGCCTTCGGTAAGTTCTGGTGGCATAATCCTCAGTCCCACTCCCTCTGCCCTGCCCTCCCCTTCCCCCTCACGCGCTCTGTCTCTAAAAATGGATAAGGAAATCGTTAAAAAAAAAAAAAAAGAATTCTCACTGTTCCAAACACGAGAAAACTGGCACGGGACCCACCCCAGCCAAGGCCCGGGAACTATACTAACTCTTCAGGGAGCAGGCCCGAGGAGCTGAAGAAATCCGCTCAGGCTCATCTTTGGGCTTAACTACACTGTGGGCGGAGCAGTCTCCGGAGCGCCAAGGTGACCCGGGGAGCATTCCATGTTGACCCCATACGCCCACATCTGTGTTCAGGCAAGGACCGAACAAGGATCCCCTGTGAAGGATCGGTGGGGCCTGTCCCTCTGAGCTCCAGGGGGGTGGCGGGGCTGGCGGGGCTGGCGGGGCTGGCGGAGCCACGCACACACGCAGAGCCGCTGGGCTGGGGAGAGGCAAGGCTACACAAGGCCGAAACAGGCATCCAGACTTCCCGCTACCTCCCTCCTGGGGTGTCAAATCTAAAGCTCGTCTGTCACCTCCCTGGAAAGCAAAGAGCTAAATAATTTACTAATACTTCCTTTCTTTACAAAACTTTAATTTTCTAAAAAAAAAACCAAAAACAACACCACCACCACACACACACACACACACACACAAACCCGTGGCGAAACAATGGCAGTAAGTTTTGAGATCAGCTCTAACACTACTGGCTGGCAGGAGGGGCAGATGTGCGATTCCACGTGGTAAAACTCCACCTGCTGGGGACTGAGGATTAGGGCACCAGAATTTACCGCAGGCGTGAACACTTCACACAGCCTTTCCAACATTTCAGCGGTTTCCTAACGTAGCATCGAGGCCGAAACTCAGGCAAAGAACCACAACTGCGGCCACTGACTTTGTTTTGTTGTTGTTTTTTTTAAACAAACCCTTGTGTCAAGGGCTGACCGGCTACTGACTTCATATTAACTAAAGTTTTTCTCACCTTACCAAAAAATGAACAGTTCTGGTTAAAAAAAAAAAAAAAAAACTTATAAATGAGGGAGCCAGTAAGATGGTAAAGCTGCTTCTAAGAGCACTTGAGGAACTGATTATGTAAAAAAAAAAAAAAAAAAGGCTAATAATGGAAAACCATCATTTTATGCAAAAAACTTAATGTTGGAATTCCTATTTTGAATGCAAAAACTGGAAATGCTTCTAAGATGGGTGCTCCATATTGCTACAGAAATAACACCCCCCTAGACTAGTTCAAGACAAAAGGGACAGCTACTAAAATGATTCTTCCCCCCACCCGCTCCTCCCCCCCATGCTGCACTGTGGGTGTGCCCTTTGGGACAGGGCCTGGATTCCCTTCATCTCTCCACATCTGGGTTACCTGATGTGCCAGCCCTACTGCAGAGGGGGCCTCAAGGAACCACAGATAAACTTGATTGCAAAGCACTTCATAAATATTTAGACTCTGTTTTATTTAAAAAAAAAAAAAATATTTAGACTTTTAAAGCCCTTGTTCACCAAGTGCACGAATTTTCTCCATCTCTGCTCCTATACCCCACTACTCAAAAGTGAGTCAAACTTTTGAGTTGGCAAAACTGTTCTTTAAAAAATGTTAATCTAGGGGTGCCTGGGTGGCTCAGTCGGTTAAACGACTGACTCTTGGTTTCAGCGCAGGTCATGATCTCAGTGTCATGAGATCGAGCCCGTTAGGCTCCGTGCTTAGCTTGGAATCTGCTTGGGACTCTCTCTCCCTCTCCTTCTGCCCCTCCCCTCTGCTCGCTTGCGCTCTCTCTCTCTCTCTCTCTCTCCCCCCCACTCTAAAATAAATAAATAAATCTTGAAAAAAATAAAAATTAAAAAATGTTAATCTAGATGCTTTACCTTTATGACTTTGTCCATTCTCCTTCTGGGATGAGAAAGAAGTTGAGGAAAACAGGCATTGAGGATAAAGTCCTCAGGGTCTCTCACATTGTGCAGCCAATCTGAGAAAGCCTTAGCAAGATACAAGAGGGAATTCTCAGGACGGTAAAGTCTGCTTCTTCATGTAGCTATAAGGAGCTGAGACAGTTACTGACTTCTCAGTACCCGGATGGCTCACTCTCAAGCAAACCCTCTTCTCTCCAGCTCAATTCCTGCTGCAGGCATGCAAGTCTTATGCTGCTTCAACAGCCCCCTAAGCGGCCTCCTTGTCCCCTTCCAAAGACCTTCCCCACTGCTACCAAACATTCTCCTAAAAACGCAAACTGAACTCATACCCTTCAACTCTGTCACTTCAATTTTAAAGCTCTACCGTAAGGAGATTGAGATGGGGATGACAACAGCAAAGCACAGTAGCTAAGATCACAGACTCTGGAGCCAGACTGCCTGAGTTTAAATCTCAGCTCCCACACATCAGGCCACATGACTGAAGGCAAAGCACTTAACTTGTCTGGTTTGGGTTTTCTTAAAATTTTTTTGGTAACAGCTTTACTGAGATAAAATTCACATATAACTCACTCATTTTAAGTATATATTTCATTGGTTTTCAGTATGTTCATACAGTTGTACAACCATCACTACAATTAATTCTAGAATATTCTTATCACTCCCCAAAAGACCCCTGTACCCATTAGGAGTCATCTCCCTTTTCCCTACCCTCCCTGGCGCTAGGCAACCATGAATCTACTGTCTCTATTGATTTGCTTCTTCTGGACCTTTCATACAAACAGAATCATATAAAAGGCAGCCTGTCACGTCTGGCTTCTTTTACTCAGCACGATGTTTTCGAAGTTCATCCACATTTGTAGCATGTGTCAGGACTTCATTCCTTTACATGCCTGAGTAATATTCCATTATATGGGTATGCTGCATCTTATCTATCCATTAATCCCTTGAGGGACATTTGAGTTGTTTTCACTTTTTGGCTGTATTGAATAACACTGCTGTGAACATTCATGTACAAGTTGTCATGTGGACATATGTTTTCAGTTCCCTTGGGTATATAGCTAGGAGAGGAGCTGCTGGGTCATATGGTAACTCTATGTTTTAAACTTTTGAGGAAACAACCTATTTTTTGAAGAGTATTTAATGATATGGGGAAATGGGCTCTCTTCATTTGATAAAAATATTTAAAAATACACACATGTACAGGTATCTATGTTTATTTAAACATTATATACTTTTGGGTGTATGTATGTATACAAATGCATTTCTGTGCTTTCCAAATTTTCTATGAGGAATATGATCAATTTTATAATCAGGAATAAAAAGGAGTGATTTTTTTTTTTAATGTAAATATGAGCATGGTATTCTCCTACTTAAAATGCTTCAAAGGCTCCTCTTGACTTACAAGACCTCACACAAACCTCTGTGCCCTGGCCCTGCCTAGTCTCTGACTTTCTCTCTATTCTGTTCCAGCAATACTGAATGCCCAAATATACTGTCTCAGTCCTTTCGCACGAGCTGTTCCCTCTACCTGGAATTCTCTTCATGGGCCTTGACACACTCTGACATGAATGCTTCATTCACCTGGCAAATATGAAAGCAACACTAACATTTATCCCCATCTAGGAGGCAGCCTGAGCCAGCGGGCTGCTTCAGCACCACAGGTGGTCTCCATCTGCTTCAAAAGGATACGTATAATGTTAAAAGCTTTGGCGTGTTACTGGCTTTAAAAATTAAAGCCAGAAACTTTTCCAACTTCAACTTTAATTCTGGAGTCCAAGAATCCTGAAATAAAAAAAGAAAAATAATAAAAGCCCTAGATCATTAAATGCCAACAGCATTGTCAAATTGTGGCCTTTGGCTTAAATAACCCCATCCAACACGGTTACTGAAATCAAAAGCAAGATGCCTTGCCTGTGGTGTGATGCCACGAAAAATAGGTTTTTGGACATCTAACCAATTCATTTATAAAAGATCAGATACCCACAGCAGGAGGAAAGAACGGAGTTCGGTTATAAACAAGGAAAAAAGAACCCTGTACATGATTTGAATATTTCATGTGATTTAAACACAAGCATGACAAATAAGCTTATTAGGCTGAATGCCAACCAGAATTCAGAATCGTTGAAGCATACACGGTGCTGGCGGGCATACACGGCTATCACTCAGTTCCTGAAAGTTTCTCAAAGAGAAAGACTCATTTCCATAAACCTCATCTAGACAAGAAAAAAAAAAAAAAAGACAGAAGCTGTTATCTGCCTCAAATAACCCATCATGTCAAGAATTACGATATACTTTTAGTTTGATTTGTCCCTTAATAATAAATTACTTATCTCAAATAATGCTCATTAGAAGGAAAAAATAATGACTTAAGTAGTAAAAGAAAAAGTGTGACAAGCAATTATCTTTCTCAGGACAATTTTCCTTACAGTCTTTATATAAAAAAATCTATCACCAAACCAAGAAGTTCCACAGAAAAGAAGCAAGATCTCTAAAAATTCCTATCAACTTACCTCTTAGGCCCTGCCCCACCCCCGCAGACCCCCCCCCATCCTTCCGCGCTTCCCCTCCCCAGCTCTGTGTCCTTCTCCATGCCCCCACCCCACCCGTTCTACCCAGGGCATCATCTGGCTTTTGGAAAAAATACTGTCTTATATTTTTAAAAGATTGTCTAATTCCCTGACATGGCATGATAGCTTTAGTTATAATGTGTGTGTTATGGGTTGAACTGTGTCCCCTAAAAAGATATGCAGAAGTCCTAGCCTCCTCAGAATGTGAGGTCATTGGAACGGGGTTGTTGTAGATGTAATTAGTTAAGATGAGGTCATACTGGAGCAGGGTGGGCCCTTAATGCAACATGACTGGTGTTGCATTAAGAAGGAAAATTTAGACAGACACAGAAGATGGGCCTGTAAAGACAGGGGACTGGAGTTATGCGGCCACTAGCCAAGGGACATCTGAAGCCACCAGAAGCAGAAACAGGCAAGGAAGTATCCTCCCCTAGAGGCTTCGCAGGGAGCATGGCCCTGCCAACACCTTGATTTCAGACCTCTGGCCTCATGAACGAGACAGAAAGTTTCTATTGTTTAAGGCACCCGGTCTGTGGCCCTCTGTTACAGCAGCTCTGGGAGACTAACACAGCGCGCTACCGCTCAAGGCTTCTGCGCTCAACCATACCATAAAGAATTGCAAGGAAGGACTACCATGTTGGCTGACATAAATGAAGACATCTTAAAAACAAACAAAACAAAATATTTGGGACATGGAGACTTCCAGTTAAATTGCCCTGTTGCTGATTACTATTTTGTATCACCAACAAGTACATATTTTCAATTTAACTGTTTACCTTCTGATGCTCTGCTAATGACAAGGCTAAGATTGGGATAAAACCTCTCTGGGCAATGAATCCCTTATTTTTTTTCTTGACTGCTCTGATTTTTCTGTGCTTTCAGCTTTGAGAACAAGAACATTTCCCAAGTCTGCTAGGCACCTGACTGCCCAGCTCCCACAGGAATGGGGGAAGCACTGGGCTGGTTCTCTGTACTCCCTGCACGAAGTCATGCCCCCTCTTTACATCATAGTCTCTTCACTTGTAGAATGCAGACTTTACACTAGATAAGTGATCATCTGACTTTTTTTTTTCCAACAGCAAAACCCTTCTGATCGTTCAAAGTCTTGCCCAGAACCCTAATATATGAAATGAATAAAAGCAGGGTATTCTTGTGGAGTTCATGGAGAACTCCATGCTTGACTCTCTTGGCCTACCCACTGCCTCCTCCCTCCCTCGCAGAGCCCACAAGAATTCCTTCCATTTCTTTCCATTTTCACTAATTAAGCTTGACTTGGTCCCTGGCACCTAAGTGCCCAAAAGTTTTTCTGGAAGTAATCAACTAGAGGAATACCTAAATATTTCTGCAAGGAGATGCTCACTGACAAACAATTTGCTGAAAAGAGCTCATTACAATCTCTACAAAATAATTTTCTTTCCTGACACCTCAGCAGAAAAGATAACCTGAAAAAACAATGAAAACAACTAAAAAAGCTGGATAAGTTAACCATATTTTAAAATCCATCCCCAAGTGGCAAGAAAGGAAAAGCAGAGGCTAAAAGTGACAGTTTTCTCTCTAAGGATAACTCAGAGTCTAGAAGACCTTACACCTCAGTTCTAAGAACGGTCATGGTACAGAAGACGAAGACAATAGGATCCACTCATAGTAAACAATCTAATAGGAGACCCTAGCATAAAACTGGGATCCCAGGGCACCTGGGTGGCTCAGTTGGTTAGGCATCTGCCTTCAGTTCAGGTCATGATCCCAGAGTCCTAGGATTGAGTCTTGCATCGGGCTCCCTGCTTAGCAGGGAGCCTGCCTGCTTCTCCCTCTCTCACTCCCCCCTTTCGTGTACTCTCTCTCTCTCAAAAATAAATAAAATCTTTACAAAAAAAACCTCGGTTTTTTTTTTAACCCCAAAGGGCTATACCATCAGGAAAAAGTCAAGGACAAACCAATCCAGAAGGCAACAGCAAGGAAATCTACCTGTCTTGACCTTGACATTAGGTAGGAGGGAGGAAAAACCTCATTTGAAACTTCATAACCCAAACTAGTCTCATTAAAGACTGCAGCCTAAACTGAAACTATCTATATGGTTCCCAAAGCCTTGAGCAAAGAAATTTAATTTAAAATGATCCTGGGTTGGTAATGCCCTAGATGACTGAGAGATGCAAATGCAGATCTCTGAAAGAACCAAACTTCACTCAGGCCTCAAAAAACTCCCACAAGTCCCAAGTAGAATAAACTCATTGTCAAAACTCAAAGTAACTAATTTTTTTTTTCAAAAAAAGATATAAGGTGCCGTGAATGAACGAGCAGAAATTAAACACAGCAGGATCAAATCTATAAAGGCTCCTGATGTTAAAATTAACAAAGAATAGGGCGCCTGGGTGGCTCAGATGGTTGGGCTTCTGCCTTTGGCTCAGGTCATGATCCTGGAGTCCTGGGATTGAGTCCCGCATCGGGCTCCCTGCTCCTTGGGAGCCTGCTTCTCCCTCTGCCTTTCTCTCTCTCTGCCTCTCTCTCTGTCTCTCATGAATAAATAAATAAAAATCTTAAAAAAAAAATAAAATTAAATTAACAAAGAATATAATAACACAAATGTATAAAATGGTAAACAAAAAGGCTTGAAAATATGAGCAAAGAATAAAAGACTATAAAAAATGACCCAGTAAATTTGAATTAAAAAACAAAAAGAATGTCTATTAACAAAAGTTAGTAACTGAAATTACAAATTCAGTGAAGGATTAAAGAACAGATTAGACTGTTTGAAGACAGGTGTGAATAAATCACCCAGAATACAGTCCTGACAGAGATCATGAGATGGAAAATACAAGATGTTAAGAGACATGGAGGGCACAACACTGTGAACATCCTTGACTCTACTGAACTGTACACTTCACAATGGTTGAGATGGTAAATTTTATTTTATGTGTATTTTGTCACAAATTTTTTAAATGAAAAAAAAAGACAGGATAGAAGAAGTCTAATGCAGATTTAATCAGATACATAGATTAAATGTAGATTTAATCAGACATCCAGAAAAAGATAATAAAGAGGAGAGGCAATATATGACGAGAAAACAGAATTTTCCAGAGTCGTTCAAAGACACAAAACGTCACATCCAGGAGGCCCAACAAATCCCAAGTAAAAATAGAAATCTACCCCTAGACAGGCCATAGTAAAATTGCACGACCTCAAAGGTCAGAGAAACAAGACAGATCACCTACACGGGAAGAGCAATGAGACTGATGGCTGACCTCCAATAGCAATAAAGGGAGTGGGGTGATAACATCACCTTCAATGTCACAAAAGAAAATAGCTATATGGGGTGCCCGGGTGGCTCAGTGGGTTGAGTGTCCGACTCTTGGTTTTGGCTCAGGTCATGATCTCAGGGTTGTGAGATCCAGCCCACACTGGGCTCTGAGTTCAGCATGGAGTTTGAGATTCTCTCTTTCCCTCTCCCACTGCCCCTCCCCGCCCCACACGCATGCGCGCGCGCTCTCTCTCTCTCTCTCTCTCAGAACAAATAAATCTTAAAAAAAAAAAAAGAAAGAAAGAAAATGGCTGTAAGCCCACCATTCCGGACCCTGTCTAAAAAAGCAACAGAGACATTTCAGACAAGCGAGAATGGAAAGAAGAGATCGTCACCCAAAGGAGACTCTAAAGGGATGTATGTGAGGCAGAGAAGATGATTACAGATGGAAGGTCCTTCACGCAAGACGGAACAGCAAGCACATCTATGGGCGAACAGAAGGGTAAATCCATACACACATAGATTGCATCAAATAATAAGATTCCGTAACGTGTGGGGTTAAAGTATATAACTGAAATACTTGACAACAGCAGCAAGTGAGCTGGGAAGGGGATGAAGGAGGTGAATGCATTCTAAGGTCCTTGTAATGGTCAGGAAGACGAGGAAGATATGAGCTTTAGATTTTGTTATGCATACATACTCAGGTATCTATGACGGCCACTGAAAGAACATATGTAGAAAGTAGCAAAAGGAAAAAAAAAAAGGAATAACATGACTCCCCATGAATACTGAACCCTGCAGACTCGGGACGCTAAGCCAGAGCAGGCCAGCCACCTGCCGAAGCCCGGGCTGGACCTCAGCTGCAGCTGCAGTGCTGCGCCATCATCTTCATAAACAGAAGTCTTCACAGTGAGAAAATCCACTATTTCTTTTCAAGTTTCACCACCTTCCTTAACCATTATATGTTTTCAACCTTCTCGGAGAGGAAGGGGACAAAACTAAATTTGGATGGACAAAGAAAACCAAGCACAGAATTCAACGTAGGCTACTCTTATGACAAGCCTGCTTTCATGAAGTCATTCTACTCTGTGGCCTTCAATTTAGGGGCTACTATTCGGGAATGCTGACAGGTGTCTGACTAAAGTATAACGGAACAGGAGACGGAGACACACTGGGTCTGGAGAGAGAAGAGCATCTGTTGTCCAGTGGCGCATGAGGACTCTCCAAAGAGATGCTCGGAAACAGTGTGAGATCTTTCTTTAGAAAAAGCAACTGCATCAGTCTCTTAAACATGTTTTCATAAACCTCTCAGGGGACATCTTAATTTTATTAAGTCAACAAGAATTACTACAATGGATAAACACTGATAATAAATAGTATGCTGAAATGTCAACTACGGTGAAATAAAACAATTAAAAGAGCTCCAGGCAAGTAGTCTGAAGGAAGTAATAGTACACAACCAGGTCCTCAGAAATGTGCCAAGTAAGTGAGACTCTGAATAGAAATTAAAACACATATGGCCAGCAATTACATAAAATAACCTAATTCTTTTCAGGCCACAAATTTCAATGTAATTGAATAAAAATTATCCTTTCGCTATTGAAAAAGTATGCATGGAATGCTTTCAGAAGTACACTTAAAAATAGTTATGTTAGTCTGAGTTAACAAGTCTTAAGACACCCAAAAAATGAAATTTTATGGCACAAGAAAAGTTCATCAAAGAAACTTATCTGAGAACAGAAACGAATTTTCACGTTTTTTACGGCATCATTCAGAAACCACCAGCGTCGACAAGGTGAAACCACAATGCTGCCCCGGATCCAACTGGTCACTCACCTGGAAGAGCTCTTTAAAGGAGGGGTGGACCATGGGGTTGGGAACAAAAGGCAGAGCATAGAAAGGGAGAAACTCCGTGGTCTGGCTCAACGCTGCCCCTTTGGTCTCCAGGTAGGTTTTGAAATAAGAAATCCTCTCATCCAGGCCCTCTTTGTCCTGCAAAGAAGGAAAGATGCTCGCGTGGGGTCTCCTGCTGGACGTCTGGTTCCCCCCCCACCCCCGACCACCCCACTCCCTCTCTGCAGCTCCTCTAGTTCCAGCCACGGTGCTGGCATCCCCCCCCCCACCCCAGCAAGCACACGGTCTCCAGTCATTCAAACACCACCCCTCATGTCCCCCTTGACGGAACTTTGTCAGGAATTTCAGAGAACTAGATACATAGTTCGATCTGCTGCCCTTTTACTTTATAATTATGTTCTCATATCCTTAAAATTCTTCATAAACATCATTTATACCGGCAGGACAAAACCTCATCTCATGGGTCTATCACAATTTACTTAGCCAATTCCCCTATTATTAGATGTGTGCCTTGTTTCCACTTGTCACAGATCATAAACATGCGTTTCCAGGATTCCCTCAGGAGAGGTGCAGAAGCTTCCATCGCATTCCTCCTTTCCTCTGCAAAGCTAACTAAGGACGGATCTTGCAGGCTGCACTGACTGCACGCGTGATCCGAGGCAACCTGATCCCTCTCAGGTTTTGATTTCCTCCTGAGCCTCAGCGAGGTCGGAGCACTTGTGCTGCTCAGCCCGGAATCGAGTGCTCTCCTTCCCTGACCACCTGGCTGCACCAGAGCCGTGTACCCTGTGTATACGTGCTCTTCTAATCAACACATCTCACGCCGTCTACACCGGGAAGCCCTCTTCTGGCCACTGGGCTTAAAAAAATATACAGTGTTTATTGATTTTTTTAGTCTTACATCAAAATAAAAAAGTTAGAAAACAGAAATAAATATAAAGAAAGTGAAAATCTCCCATGATCTCACCCCCCATGCACACAGTCTTGAGGAACAGGAATGGCTACTGTGACTTACTGTAAAGCTGCTCCCTCCACCATGACCCCTCCCCTGGCCCCCCTGACATTTTAATAAGTGAACACAGGTGCTTGGGGGCAGTAGCTAATGCAAGGAGAAGCCACTAAAGAAAGGCATGTAGTCAAATGTCAACCTGGCCCTGCTCCCTTCTGTCATTTGCTCTGTACTGGGAGGCCTGGCGGCCACAGTAAGGGGCACTCTTAGCCGTGCCCTCGGCACCCCTGCAGAAGGACTGCAGAGGCTACTCATCTGACCGCTCAGACAGACCTTCACAAACAGGCATCTTTCCACTGCTTAAGCTCAAACTTCTCTTCTATTAGACAGTCTAATATGTGGTCTCAATGGGTGTCCTCTTAGACATATGTGTATTCGTGTTAAGCTGCCAAATAAGGAAACTTTATTGTGCTGGGTTTTCAGAAATTTGAGGCATTGAGGAAAACCACGTAGCTTTCCGTACAGAAATTATTAACTCCCCGTATAAACTAGAAAATAAACTACTGGGAATGAGACAGAAAATCCTGCACAGGACATGGGACGCCTACTCCTTGGAAGCAATACGATAAAATGGCCACAAAACTAAATTAATGCTCATTTACAAAACAAAAAGCTAACATTTCCCCTTGAACACACCACTCAGACCCACCCAAACCACAAAGGGAACCTACAGGTCTCCCTACGGAGTGTTTCAGAAGATAGATGGCAAAATGGATGTGAAGATAGAATTCCAACTTCTGGGCAAGGGAGTCACGATCTCGGATGGAACTGGGAATATGCTCCTCCCACAAATTGAAGAACACCTTCTGGTCACCATTGTCAAATGCAGCAACGAGGTCCTTCTGTGGAGAAGACATCAGACTGAACCCCAGTCATAAGGGAGGCCCATTCTCCCAACACCCCAACTTCTCACAAGCTACCCAATACCCTGCATACCCCATACACTCTGTGGTTCCAGTGTGAAAACTCCGTCTCCTTCCTGAGATAAGGGACGGAAACCAGAGAGCTAGAAGGCTTCAAGCATCTTAGGCTGAGATTCCCACAAACCAACCCTGGTTGCAAGGTCAAGTCTCAGCTTTACAAAGAACAGATGAAAACATTTAAGTCTCTGACATGGAAGGAGCCAGGCACAGGCCCAGGACTTGAGGTCAGAAAACTCACAGGCACATAAATACACTGAAGTCATCCTGTGAACTTGCTGACCCAGAGCATGTGATCAGTAAAAACCAGGCCAGATCCAAAGCCCAGCCAGGCCTCCGTGGAACTCACCCCGCACACAGAAGCTTACTGACAGTCCAGCTGAGTCCTGGAGTGGCAGCTCCTACACACTGCCCCAGTCAATCCCAGGCCTGGGCGGCGGGTGCTGTCATTTGCTCCCTGTTGCTAAAGCATGTCCCACCAAGATGGCACTTGGGAAGTGACGACAGATTCCCAACACACCATGCAGTGACTGTCTATGTCCACCAATTACAGAAACAGGGACGCACAGGCTGGAGCTGGAGGAAGGAGCACAGGCCTGGCGCTCTTCCCACCTCAGGGCTGTGTGAGTCTGACCATGCAGGGCAGGCAGTTTCCCAAACTACCATGCAAAAGCAGAAATAGAGAATTCTGGGCAAAGGAGGTGGCGATTATCATGCCACCAGCCTCGCAAGAATGATGACTGACCCACTGCAAATACCTGCTGCGTAATTTTGCAGATTTAGGTATAAGGCAGAATGGACAGAACTTCCTAATGGTCCCAAACCATGTGATTCATATTGTTTTCCTTACTGCATCAAATGCCCAAGATACTCAGACCTACATTTTGTGCTCAGATGCAAAAGTTTTTCTTGGATTGGATTTTCTATAGAACCTCCCGTTCCCCCCCCCCAACACCATTATTCATCACCATTAATTGATCATTGTTTTTTTATACTTTTTAAAAATGGCTCTATAGTTTTTCTCCTTTTTTTAGGTTGCTTAGAAATAAGCTTGTTAATATTATAAAATGGGAATGTACTGCACAATGTTGCACTGTCCGGTTATACTTAAAGACATTCATTAATGAATCTTTGAGGGACGCCTGGGTGGCTCAGTCAGTTAAGTGTCTGCCTTCAGCTCAGGTCATGATCCCAGGGTCCTGGGATTAAGCCCCACATTGGGCTCCCTCCTTAGTAGGGAGTCTTCTTCTCCTCCCTCTGCCTCTCCCCTAGTTTGTGTTCTCTCTCTCACTCGCTCACTCCCTCTCAAATAAATAAAATCTTAAAAAAAAAAAAAATCAATCTTCGGGGTGCCTGGATGGCAACCAACTCTTGGTCTCAGCTTGGGTCATGATCTTGGAGCTTGAGGATAAGCCCCGCACAGGCTCCATGCTCAGCGTGGAGTCTGCTTGGAGTTTCTCTCTCACTCTCCCTCTGCCCTTCCCAGCTGCACTCTCTCTTACTCTTTCTAATAAATAAATCTTTAAAAAAAGAATCTTCAACTGTGCTTATTACAGAAATGTTCTCTATTTCATGTGATCAAGAACAATGACTGTTACCTTACTCTGGAAGGTCTTGGCTCCTCAGCCTTGGAAACAGCAAAGGACAGCTTGTCAGCAGCCATGGGAAGGGAGGTGCCCAAAGTGCAAACAGGCACCACCAGCGTCCCGAAGAACTGGGAGGAAGCCCATTACTGACTGACGCAAGGTGCAGGGGATCTTCCCAAGTAGCAGTACTGCTGGAGTCTGACCCCACTCCAGGCTCACCGCGGCTGAGCTCGAAGCCAAGCCCGCCATCCCTGCGAGCCGCTCCGGGGGAGGCATGCTCTCAAGAGAGGGCTGGAGACCAAGAGCTCTTTGTGTGAGTGAGTTGTGTGCAGACTCTTGTGAGTATTTTAAGGCTTCGAGTCAAGGTATTTTCTTATGTGGACTGGCAGAGTCCACATGTTCAAATGGGCCATGTACAGTTTGTTCTAAATTCTTCATTTGTAGACCTGGGACCACAAACTTTCCTGTACCATTATAATCACATCTAAAATCCATCCTAACTTATGATTCATATTCTGTACCTGGAAATAGTCCCTGCATTTAATATCGACATACAAAGCGATCCAGTGTTATAACTCAATATAGTCACAAATATTAATGATCTTCTCTAATATAAACCATGTTCCCAGCCAGAATCACCAAGCTCAGAATATTTATACACCATCCTGGGGTCGAGTCCCGCGTCAGGCTCCCTGCTCCTTGGGAGGCTGCTTCTCCCTCTGCCTCTCTCATGAATAAACAAATAAAAAGTTTAAAAAAAATAATAACTTATAAACACAAACACACACACACACACACTTCTTACAGAACTGTGCTTCGGGAAATTCTCCATTTGTTGAGTGCCACTGGCACTTAAGATATTTTGCTAAGCTGCTGTTCCAGGTATTTTTGTTTGGAATAGTTATCACAGTGGACACAGCTGTTTATTGGATGAGCAGAAAAAATATGCTTGTGGCAATCAGAAAGTTTCAAGCTCTTTCAAGCTATAGAAAAATGGACCTGAATACAACTGAGAAATGTGAACCCAAACCATAAGATATCACTTCACATCCATTAGGGACTACTATCAAAACCAAACCAAACCAAAAACAAGTATTGGCAAGGCTGTGGAGAGGTTATAACCCCTTCACACTGTTGATGGAAATGTAAAATGTAATCACCATGGAAAAGAGTATAAGGGTTCCTCAAAAAATTAAAACTAGAACTACCATATGATCCAGTAATCCACTTCTGGGTATATATCCAAAATAACTGAAAGCAGGATCTCAAAGAGATATTCGTACACCCATGTTCACAGCAGCACTATTCACAACAGCCAAGAGGTGGAAAAAACTCAAGTGTCCACTGATGGACGAATGGATAAACAAAATGTGGTACAGACATATAAATGGAATCTCCTTCAGCTTTAAAAAGGAAGGAAATCCTGTCACATGTCACAACATGGACAAACCTTGCTCCCTGTCCCCTCCAGCCTCCCTGAGCTAGAATGCAAGCGCCTGGAGGGGTGAGCTTTGGTTTGGTTCACTGTGTGCCCAGTGCCTAAAATGCATAACCTAAAATTCCTCAGGATGGGGATCACATTTGTTTCAATTACTAAGCATTGCATGGTTTCCTCTTTTTCTTCTTCCCAAGAAATGTACATTAAGGAAGGCACTTGATGGAATGAGCCCTGGGTGTTATATGCAACTGATGAATCACTAAACTCTGCCTCTGAAACTAATAATACATCATATGTTAACTAAATTGAATTTAAATAAAAAATTAAATAAATAAAATAAACAGAAATGTACTTATGTGGAAGATATTATGTCACAACCCATTTCCTAGGGAAGGTACACAGATTTAAAGATGACATTACTGGGACGCCTGGGTGGCTCAGTCAGTTGAGCACCTGACTCTTGATTTTGGCTCAGGTCATGGTCTCAGGGTCATGAGATAGAGCCCTGTTGTGGCAGGCTCCGTGGTCAGGGGGAAGTTCTGCTTCTCTCCCTTTTCTTCTCCCTCTGCCCCTCCCCCTACTTGCACGCTCTCCCTCTCTCTAAAGTATATAAATAAATCTTAAAAAAAAAAAAAGATGATATTACTAATTCATACAAAAACACCTGAGCATCTACAAGTCACACTGGAGGTGCCTGGGGGCAACCTGGCTGGCTCAGTCGGTGGAGCATGTGACTCTTGATCTCAGAGTTGTGAGTTCCAGCCCCATGATGGGCACAGAGTTTACTTAAAAAATCAATCAATTAATTAATAAAATAAAATAAAAGTCATCTGACCAGGTTCCCAGAAACAATTCCAATATTCTCTAATAACTGCATTTTTTATAAGTTGGGAGCATCTTGATTATTGACAGATATCAAAAAAAAGGAAAATGTTACCTGGATGATCAATGATTTGGCGTCTCTTAAACAGCCACCTGCTGTTTTAGATAATGGCTTTCCTTTTACTTTGCATTCTTTTGAAAATGTTTTCAAGGTGTCTTCAAATTCAGCAAAATCTAAATACTATAAAAAAAGAACATAAATGTATATACGATTCTCTTTTTTAACATCAACAAAGCCAACTGTCTTTGATGTAATTGTACCAGCTCGAAGTTACCACCTATTTATAATGAGGTTAACGAACTGTCATCTTTGGAAGAATTCAGGATCCAGCTTAGAATTTACTTACTCGACACACGTACCCAAAGCCTAGGAAGACAGTATCATAGAAAATGCTTATTTACAGAAAATAAATTTGCTTTCAGAAAGAAAATGTGAACTACATGATTCATGATCATTGTTAATAGAAGCAAAAGGATGTGTGCAGCATTCTGACAAAGGCAGAAGTGATCCCCAGAAGGCCTGATGGCTTGGGGTCTGGTAGATCTCTGGGAATTTGCCACCTGAAACTGGCCCTGGAAAGAGTGCCTGTCCTTAAGAACAGAAGACCAGCCACTGAAAGACAGGCAACGTCATCACTGATCCTGGAGCACGGCACTCCTGCTCACCGCCCATCGTGACCCCTCTCCTGGCCTCCCCTACCATGTACTCTACTGCTGTTCTCCCCTCCTTCTCAGTTTGTGGCAGTTACATCTTTTGGTTTCCACCTCCTGTGCGCGGGCTCTTTCTGCAGGCCCTGTCCACAGCCCTTTGCTGGGACAGCTTTAAGAATGTATTCATGACCACACCAACGAATTCCAAAGCTGCATTTCCAGGGCAGATGCCTTGCCCCATGGCCGTGGCTCACAGTGCCTGATGAACGGTTTAATCACAGACTAAAACAGGAGCAACAGTTTCTTGAGCATCAACTATGTGCTTGCCCCACGCTAAAGGCAGTAGAGAAGATAAAAAAGCCTAGGCTATGGGTCCTGTCCTTCAAAAGCTTTCAGTGTAGGAAACCTAAATGTCCATTAACAACAAGTTAAGTAGATACAGCTGCTCAGTGAAATATTCTACAGCATAAAAAGTATGAGGCAGATCACAGGAAGATGTTCACGCCATATTACTGTAGATAGAGAAAAGCCAAGCTTCAGCACAATGTGCATGGCATCATTCCATTTTGTAAAACAAACTACAGACATGTAAATATATTTTGAATATTCATATAAAAAAAGTCTGGAAAACTAGACTAACCCATTAACAATGGTTTCTGCGGTAGTGGAGCGCAGGGAAATGAACTTTTTATACTTCCACATTGTTTGAATCTTTACTGTGAGCATATGTTACAATTATAATTTTCTTTAAAGAAATTTTTTTTCAAGTGGCTTTAAGATTTCAGTTTAGTTGTGAAAACAAAAAATCATATAATGGAAAACAGGTAACTCTAATGTAAGGATAGAAAACACATTATAAGGCACTATAAAATTTGCTGCATTGTAAAATACAAGTTTTCAAGATCTCTTTCTGTGACCCATGTTTTGTAAAACATACCTCTTTCACAAGTCCAAGTAATTCTGATTCATGAGCCAGAACATCTCCCATATTGAACGGTTACCGTTAATTCTCACAGCAAAAATCTCTACAAGGCAAAAATAGAAGATAAAAGCTTTCATTTCAACCACCTGTGAAATCATAAAAAGGTGGCTGTGGTGGGCAGAATAAGGCCCCCATCCTAATCCCCAGAACCTGTGAATATGCTAGGTTGCATGGCAAGAGGGAATTAAAGTTACACACGGAATCAAGGTTGCTAATCAGCTGACCTTAAAATAGGGAGAGTATATATGATTATCTGGTGGGCCCAGTGTAATCACAGGGATCCTTATAAGGAGGCAAGAGGGTCAATGTCAACAGTGATGCATCGCTTGCCCTGAAGGTAGAGGGAAGGGCCCCAAGCCAAGGAATGAGTGCAGGCAGCCTCTAGATGCTCAAAAAGGCAAGGAACAGATTCTCCTCTGGAGCCTTCAGAAATGAACAAGCCCTGTGAACACCTTGATTTTAGCTCCATGAGACCCATTTTGGACTTCTGACCTGCAGACCTGTAAGATAATAAATCTGTGTTGTTTTAGGTCATAATTTTATGGTAATTTATCATACGGAAATACAAAGGCTAATGTTCAAAGTAATTCCTTCTTCTATGACAACTACTAAAATGAATATGAACACGGCCTAGAAGTTGGTGTAAATGAGCAGCGAGGGCTCTTTGTGAGACTGGGGAAGATTCTTCTTCTTATTTGGTTTTCTAATGTGCCATAATGTGGTATGTGTAATTCAAACAGTCAAGACCACAAAGTGCATTTTAGAACAAAACAGAATTTGATAAGGTTCATTCATTTACTTTAAAGAAGGATATGCATTAATATTAATCTGATATAAATGAACACCAATTCCTCATTCTGCCTCCAAATAAAAACTAATCATTCACACAAAGATATGGGATACTACTTATCTGCAAGAAATCTTTAATGTTTCCTGAAGATCATAATCATTTAGCCTTACAGTAATGGGGGAGGAAGTGGAGTGCATTTACACAAGTGTTAACACAGGGTCAGGCACCAGGGAATGTATTAGGTCAGTCTTTATTTTGTTTAGTTTAGAGAGAGAGAGCAAGTGGTGGGGGGGTGGGAGGGGCAGAGGGAGAGAATCTTAAGCAGGCTCCATGCCCAGCATGGAGCCCAACATGGGGCTTGATCTCATGACCTTGAGATCATGACCAGAGCTGAAATCAAGAGTCAGACGCTTAACCAACTGAGCCACCCAAGCACCCCATGGTTAGGTTTTTAATTACATCTAAGGATGCACAATATCTATGTACATTTCCAAACATTTAAATAAATAAAATATTGCAAACCTTTTAAAAAAGTATTTTCTACTTTTTCTGTCCCCAGGTGTGCCCAAAGCAGCCACTCCCTGCGCCCCACTCCCAGGCTCTTCAGCCAGATGGACTGCCCATAACCCCAGGGGAATGAAAAAAGTCTGGGCACTGATACTAACTGTGCCATTCACTGGCACCTGATCTGGGGCAAATCACTGAAACTCGGGGCCTCTTGCATCTACAAAGGAGAGTGGAGACTTGATCAGATCTCTTCTAGTTCTAGGAACACATGATTCTGTAACATTACATTTTGATCTGCCCATTACAGTGCATTTGATTTCAATTATTTGAGCACAAGTCAGGAAGATTAAATGTAGTAATTTCCCCCTTTTCTTTCTTTTGTCTGTCTCACCATCATCTTGTGGCTTCATCTCTCCCGAGGTACGGTGACACAATCTCCCATCCCCGCTCTCTCCACTTCAATTTCTATCCTATTAACAAGTGACCTTGCCCTTCCTGCTTAGGACCCTCCTGTGGTTCCACCATCCTCCACTGCTTAGGCCCAACTCTCAAAGGCTACACAACGTGGCCTCCCACACTCTCGCCTTTGTCCTGTTAACTTGAGCCTCGATGGCCACTGTGTGGCCACACCCACCAGAAGCCCACATCACAAGCCTGCCCTCTCTCGAGGACTTTGCACTTACTGCGGACACCCTCCAGATGTCCCCATCTCCTTCAGGTTGCTTAAGTATCACACCTTCAGAGAGACTTGCCCTGACTACCCTTTGTATGGGGTCAGCCCCGTCACTGCTTAGTCTTTTGTCCTGTTTTATTTTTCTCAAAAGTACTAACCACTACCTGACTTGCATATCCCCCCTGTAAACAGGAGAACACCTGTCCCCTGGCACCCCCAGTGCCTAGGCCAGGGCCCGGCACGCTGGAGTTGCTCAAAAAGAATGGCAGTAATTTCAGGTATGAGGAAAATAAAGCAAGGAAGGGGACAGAGCTTGGAGAAGAGGGGCCTAGGGTTATTTTAGATAGTGGAGGCAGAGAAGGCCTCCCTGGGAACATGTGGGCAGGGATGTGAGGACGTGGGTACCTCTGGATCTGGGGGGGAGGGATTTGCAGGTGCAGGGGCTGCAGAGTGCTGAAAGTGGCGAGAGAAGCCAAGCCAAGCAGACACTGAAGGCCGTGAGGTGCCGGGCCAGGCCAAACGGGCCTTGTGTAAGCTCGCAGCTTGCATGTACTGGGAAGCCCGGACAGGGGGCTGTCAGGGGACTGCCACCACCTGATTTACAGTTCCTAACAGCGGGGTCTGCTGTGTGGGGGAGAGACTGAGGGGACAGAGCGGTAAGGAGGCCACGGCAAAGCCCGAGCTGGTGACGAGGGAAGTCTGGATGGGGAACAGGAAGCTTGTGAAGGGTTCGGCTTCCACATGTGAAAAGGAGAGGTGGCATGACCCGCTGATGGACTGGAGGTGCGGTGTGAGGGGAGAAATGAAGGGCGACACTGGGGCCTAGGCAGATGCCGTTTGCTGAGGTGGGGGAAACTGGGGGGCCGTCTGAGAGGTCAGCTTGAGAGTGCTGTTCCAGCCAGAAGCATCACAGGCCCATGAGGCATCCGAGGGAGTGGGGTGCTAAGAAGGCTGGTGCATGTGAGTCCGGAGTAAAGGGAAAGGCGATTTTCTCTTTCAACATTCCTTTGGCTATTCAGGGTCTTCTCTGGTTCCATACAAATTTTAGGATTATTTGTTCCAGCTCTGTGAAAAAAGTTCATGGTATTTTGATAGGGATTGCACTGAATGTATAGATTGCTCTAGGTAGTACAGACATTTTAACAATATTTGTTCTTTCAATCCATGAGCATGGAACGTTTTTCCATTTCTTTGTGTCTTCCTCAATTTCTTTCATGAGTGTTCTATAGTTTTCCAAGTACAGATCCTTTGCCCCTTTGGTTAGGTTTATTCATAGGTATCTTACGGTTTTTGGTGCAATTGTAAATGGAATCGACTCCTTAATTTCTCTTTCTTCTGTCTCATTGTTAGTGTATAGAAAGGCAACTGATTTCTGTGCATTAATTTTTATATCCTGCCACTTTGCTGAATTCCTGTATGAGTTCTAGCAATTTTGGGGTGGAGTCTTTCGGGTTTTCCACAGAGTATCATGTCATCTGAGAAGAGTGAGAGTTCGACTACTTCTTTGCTGATTCGAATGCCTTTTATTTCTTTTTGTTGTCTGATTGCTGAGGCTAGGACTTCTAGTACTATGTTGAACAACAGTGGTGATAGTGGACATCCCTGCCGTGTTCCTGATCTTAGGGGGAAAGCTCCCAGTTTTTCCCCATTGAGAATGATATTCATTAATGTTGAAAAAGAAAAGCAAAGCTGGTGGCATCAAAATTCCGGACTTCCAGCTCTATTACAAAGCTGTCATCATCAAGACAGTATGGTACTGGCACAAAAACAGACACAAAGATCAACGGAACAGAATAGAGAGCCCAGAAATGGACCCTTAACTCTATGGTCAACTTAACTTTGACAAAGCAGGAAAGAATATCCAATGGAAAAAAGACAGTCACTTCAACAAATGGTGGTGGGAAAACTGGACAGCCACATGCAGAAGAATGAAACTGGACCATTTCCTTACACCAGACACAAAAGTAGACTCAAAATGGATGAAAGACCTAAATGTGAGACAGGAATCCATCAAAATCCTAGAGGAGAACATAGGCAGCAACCTCTGTGACCTTGGCTGCAGCAACTTCTTGCTAGACACTTTTCCAAAGGCAAGGGAAACAAAGACAAAAATGAACTATTGGGACTTCATCAGGATAAAAAGCTTTTGCAGAGCCAAAGAAACAGTCAACAAAACCAAAAGACAACTGACAGAATGGGAGAAGATATTTGCAAATGTCTTATCAGATAAAGGGTTAGTATCCAAAATCTATAAAGAACTTATCAAACTCAACACCCAAAGAACAAATAATCCAATCAAGAAACGGTCAGAAGACATGAACAGATTATTTCTCCAAAGGCATACAAAAGGCCAACAGACACACAAAAAAATGCTCAACATCCCTCAGCATCAGGGAAATACAAATCAAAACCTCAATGAGATACCACCTCACACCAGTCAGAATGGCTAAAATTAACCAGTCAGGAAACGACAGATGTTGGTGAAGATGAGGAGAAAGGGGAACCCTCCTCCACTCTTGGTGGGAATGCAAACTGGTGCAACCACTCTGGAAAACAGTATGGAGGTTCCTCAAAAAGTTGAAAATAGAGCTACCCTACGACCCAGCAATTGTACTACTAGGTATTTACCCGAAAGATACGAATGTAGTGATCCGAAGGGGCACCTGCACCCCAATGTTTATAGCAGCAATGTCCACAATAGCCAAACTATGAAAAGAGCCCAGATGTCCCCTGAAAGATGAATGGATAAAGAAGATGTGGTATATTATATACAATGGAACACTACTCAGCCACTAAAAAAAATGAAATCTTGCCATTTGCAATGACATAGATGGAACTAGAGGATATTATGGTAAGTGAAATAAGTCAATCAGATAAAAACAATTATCATATGATCTCACTCACATGTGGAATTTAAGAAACAAAACAGAGGAGCATAAGGGAAGGGAGGGAAAAATAAAACAAGACGAAATCAGAGAGGAAGACAAACCATAAGAAGCTCTTTTTTTTATGATTTTATTTACTTATTTGACAGACAGAGACACAGTGAGAGAGGGAACACAAGCAGGGGGAGTGGGAGAAGGAGAAGCAGGCTTCCCACTGAGCAGGGAGCCTGATGTGGGGCTCGATCCCAGGACCCTCGGACCACGACCTGAGCTGAAGGCAGACACTTAACTGACAGAGCCACCCAGGCACCCCAAGAGGCTCTTAACCATAGGAAACAAACTGAGGGTTGCTGGAGGGGAGAGAGGCGGGGGGATGGGGTAACTGGGTGATGGACATTAAGGAAGGCATGTGATATAATGAGCACTGGGTGTTATATATAAAACTGATGAATCACTGAACTCTACCTGTGAAACTAATAATACATTATATGTTAAATTGAATTTAAATTTAAAAAAAAAGGAAAAAAAAGGGAAGGTGGGAGCTGGAGGTAAGCATTTGGAAATTGTCAGCATAAAGATAGCATTTCAGGAGACAAGGATCCCAAACAGACCAGGACTCCTAAGGAGAAGGCGTAGCAGAGCGGAGCTCAGGCCTGTGCCTGAACCCTGGAGCACTCGGGGACTGAGGGCTCAGGAAGAAGAGAAGCAGCCAGCAAAAGATGAAGCCAAGAGCAGTGACTTATGGGTGGGACACAACCGGGAGACTGTGGAACCTGGAAGCCAAGGAAGGCGTTCCCCACATCAACTGTGACTACACATGGTTGAGTAAAATGCGGGCAGAAGACTTGAGCCCTGGATTTGGCAACATGGAGTTTGACAGTGACATGGGCAAGAGCAATGAAGAGAGGCACCTGACTGGAAAGGGTTAAAGAGAGGAAGAGAAGTCACAAAGGAGGGACAGGGAGATCTGTCACAAAAAGGGGAGGAGTGATCGAGTGGTGGCTAGAAAGATATGGGAGGTTTTTTAAGGAGGAAGATATTATAAACAGTAGGTTTGTAAGTCGATGGGAAGGACCCAGTTAGAGAAGGACAAATTGAGGCAGAAGAGAGGAGATGGTCAAAGAAGCAAGGTCCCGGCCACATCCAGTGTCCAGCTGGAGGGCTGGCCCTAGATAGGGCGGGGACAGTCCATCGCCTGACATGGAGGGAGGGGTCAGTACCATCTCCTGGAATCTGTCCAAAGAAACTGACAGACTCAGCGATGAGTAGAACAAGAAACAAGGTCATCAGCGGGAAGATGCGTGTTGATAGCCGGAAAAGAAGAGAAGGCAGGAACCAAGCTGACTACCGACCAGGGCAGGATTTCCAATATCGGGAGTCTGCTTAAGACACATGGATTCAAATCCAAAATGGAACCAGTCTGCATAATTCTGCAGTTTCTCCAGCCACTTCCAGCTGTCTGAGTTAGGTTAGCCAAGGTGAGGTTTTTCCAGAAGACAGGGGAAAGAGAAAACAAGTATAACAGTGATGGAGCAGCGGGGCCGGAGGAAGGGAGGTGCATGGGGGGTTCTAGGGCAGTGAAAAAGCAACAGGCTCAAACACCTGCTTAACGAGGCATGGCACCTAAGATCTGCTTCTGAGACACATTGATGGGAGCTTGAAAAAGTGTGATCAGAGCAGAATGGGTGCTTGATTTTAGAGGTGATGCAGTAGTAAAACGTTCATGACCATGGGAGCGGTGGATAAAGAGAATGGACAAAAGAGATGCCTAAAAGATGAAACTGGAGTGAGCAGCCAGGATGGTAACATCTCCAGAACTGAAGTAGAGGAGGTGGAGGGGTAGACAGGAAGCCAGGCGCTACAGCCTTCATGGGGTAACAACTGCGCCCCTGCTAGGTGACAGCCTCAAGGAGGGGTGGCGAGTGGTAAAGCCCAGAGCATGCACTTCAAAAGAGGTGGGGGTTCTGAAGCAGGGAGGCAGTGGTCTAGAAGTAGCAGGGAGGACAGGACGCCTACCCTTCCTGGGACCTACAGTCCTGCTAGATACACAAGGAGGAGAAAGACCGCCTACTGTTGGGGACCACCACCTCTGCAGCCCTTCTCTGGATCCACACCACCCCTGCCCCTCTCCCCCTTCCCCACATCAGGCCCACCAGTGGTAAACCCTGGCCATTCCCCGGTACCACATGCTTTTTCACAACTCCAAAACTTCTGTTTGATATACTTGCCCCATCACAAACTTGACACATCATGCTAACTTAACCCAGAACTGACCTCCTTCAGGAGGTCTCCCAGGAACCCCTCCCCTTCCTTCGCTATCAAGGCTATTCTCCCTCCTCTGGGGTACCTCTGAGCTCTATATTTACTTCTACTGCTACACTTATTACCCTGTTTACAAAGGCAGTGAGGTGGATTTAAATGTGATCCCTCCAGGGGCACCTGGGTGACTCAGTTGGTTAAGCATCCAACTCTTGATTTCGACTCAGGTCATGATCTCAAGGTCGTGAAATAGAGCTCCGTGTCTGGCTCCACGCTGGGTGTGGAGCCTGCTTAAGATTCTGTCTCTCCCTCTCCCTCTGCTTCTCCCCAAGCCCCCCACCACTCACGCACTCTGTCAAATAAATAAAAATAAACAAATAAATTTGATCCCTCCAGAGCCTAACAGAGTCTGCTAGGCATGATAAGACACCCAAGATATTTACAAATAAATGAAGTCCAAGGAGAGAGAACAGCATTTTTTTTGAAGGTCCTAGAACAAGAAAACTTTGTTTTTGAGAATTCAAGCTCTTTCCTACCTCAGGGCCTTTGCACATACTCTTCTCTCTGCTTGCAACATTTTCCTCCTCTTTCTTCACCCGGCTAACCTCTGTGCTTAATAAACATCACTTCCTCGGAGAAGTTCTTCAAGACCATCATTTGAATAAGATTCTACTGAGATGGTCTCTCCGTGAATGTGAGCCACTGTTGGGTATTCTATTACTCTGACATACTTAGAAATTAGAATTTTCTCTAAACTTTTATATCATAAAAGTTCATTTATTAAGAATTTTTGTATGCCAGGCAATGTGCAAAATGTTTCATTTAATTTGCACAATACACCTGAGAGATGAATATTATTTACGTTGTTTTACAGATGAGGTAACTGAGGCTCAAGAAGCCTGAGGTGTTCCCAATAATCCAGCCAGTAAATGACAAAAGTCAGAATTTAAATCCAGACCGACATTAACCACTACACAGCATTACCCCAAACGCTGGGACCACCTCAATCAGAATGCTTGTGCAAATGAAATTCCTAGAACTACCCTGATCCTACTGAACACCACGGCAGGCACGATGCCCAGAAATTGCTTTAAACAAGCTCTCTTTTATGCACACTCAAGTTTGAGAACCACTGCTCTACTTTATGCAAAAACTAGAGAAAACTTCTTCAGCTACTCTTGGGGGTTGCAGTATGGCGGCTTCTTATTTTCTATATAAAGGGCTTTAGGACCTACAAGCTAGCTAAGGGGAAGGCTATGGGATTTGTCTGGAAGACGAATTTGCATGGCTAGGATCCTAGTTTTGCTTAGACCGGATGAAGTCTGGGGAGGAGGTTAGCTGATGCAGAAAACGGAGGGGCTGGATCTAAAAGCCCCAGGCTACCCGCTTACGCCGTCACTACCCAGCTGGACGACTTGCGCCCCCCTCCAAGTCTGGCCCACTGAGGCCCAGATCAGAGACTACCTGCGGGAAGCAGCTGGGCCTGTCCTCGGTTTGTCCAGGAGGCCGCCTCGGGCCCACGCCAGAGTAATAGCCCAGGGCGGCAGACCAGAAGTGGGGGCGTTCGGCAGCGGCTGCCAAGCTGGCTTTCCTCCGGGGCGAGGGCTCCGCAGATCTTGGGCCCTGGGGCCCCACCACAGCCCCTTCCCGCCCGCGGGCTGCGGGTGCCGGGGCAGCCGGGCCGCGTCGGAGGACACGCTTACCTGCTGCACCGCCGCACACACGCTCCCTTAACCTGCTCGGCCACCCCTGCTCCAGCTGTCGCCCCGGCAACCGCCACCGCCAGCCCAGCATCACGTGGAGGCGGCGCAGCCAATCACGGGACGCGCCGGCGCGGAGCATCCTGGGAGGGAAGGCGGGCTCTTTGGGAGCTGGAGCTGCGAGGCTTCCTGGCGGCGGAAATGAAGCGAAGGTTTGCCTTGCAGTGGGTACTGCGGGGCGCGTCCTGCGGGGAGGCTTCCCGGTCTCCCTCTCCACGACTTCCCACTCGTTCGTTCCACAGACATTGCGCCCGGCGCTGTGCCCGGCTCTGGGGATTAGCCGGCCGGGCGCAACACCTAACCTCAAGGAGCTCGTTCTATCTCAGGGAAAACAAAAGAGGCAAGGGATTACAGTATAGGGTGGTGTTCGTGAGAAAACACGTAGGCGTTATTCTCGCTTTACAGGAGCGACCCAGAGCTACCTTAGAACCAACGATGTCTCCCAGTTCAGACTTCCACCCCACTGCAGCAGTTTCCCGGAATTTTAGAGACACCCCTCTCCCCCCCCCGGTGAAATTTGGTTTTCAAAGAAAACAGAAGCACAGATCCTCCCGCCCCTTGTACATGGTGCTTTGGAGCTCAAGTTAAACAGCAACTCAGCTAGAGGTTGGGAGGTGGCTAGAGACAGTACCTTCCTTCCAGGCATTGAGGCTCTATAGTGGGAGTCTCTGTGTTTCCACTTCATGCTTCCAAAAAGGTGACCAAGGCCAGAGTCAGGGAAGAGGGCATGGAGAAAGCAGGTGAGTTTTACTTTGAAGAAGCCCTGAGATGGTGTGTGGCCACCATCTCTCCAGCCCCCAGCCCTGCCAGTTCTCTTCTGGGACTTGAGATTATCTTCAGAGAAAAGTTGTATTTATCAGGAAGAGAAATCCTGTCTTTGGGATATGTATTGAAGATAAATCTCCCTGTTCCCAATAATAAGTTAACGTTTGTCACCTCACTGTGTGCCAAAGGTTGCCAGACAAAATAGAACACTTAAATTTGAATTTCAGATAAGTTTTTAACAATAAGTATATTCCAAATCCAAATATTGCCTTATTTTATGCCACATACAGGACATTATATTGTCCTGTATTTTTATTGGCTGAATATGGCAACCCTGTGTGTGCCCAGCACTGTGCTAAGTGATTACATAGATTATTTAATTCACATCACATTGATGAGATAGATATTATTTTCAGCATTTTATAGATTAACAGTGTTGTACTTGACCTGAGGTAATGTACATGATGATGTCTGATCTGGGGTGCTCTCCCTATTGCCATAACCTGAATAAAAATCAATCTCCTTACTTGTCCCGGTTTGGTCTTTGACAAGATAAATAACATGAGGTACAGAGAAGTTAAGAACTCAGAGGAGTGGTGGTGGCACCAGGATTGAATCTAGGTCCTTGTGCCTTTGAACCCTGGGCTCTTAGCTACAATAAAAACCACTCCTGGGGCACCTGGGTGGAGAGGTTGATTAAGTGTCTGCCTTCGGCTCAGGTCGTGAGATTGAGCCCTACATCAGGCTCTGCGCTCAGCACAGTGTCTGCCTGAGATTCTCTCTCCCTCTCCCTCTGTCCCTCCCACTCATTCTCTCTCTCTCAAAAACAAAATAAAACAAAACACCGCTCCTGCTTTGCTTTGTCTTCTGAGTGCACTTGCCTAACTGCCAGGATTATGGTCACTGTGGTGGCTATTATCTTTTTCTGCCCATCACCTCTCTCCCTCCTGGTAACACACCTGACCACAGGGATGGACACACAGCCCAGAATGGACTAATCTTACCCTAGCCCTCTGGCCACAGTGATTGGCCCAGGATGAGTATGTGATTCAAGCTGAGACAATGGGAGTCTTACCTTGGGATTTTTCTGTTGAAGTATGTTCAGATCATTGTAAAATGAGACTCCAGGGCAGCCTGGTAACCATGTCCTTTACCACATAAAAAAGCCTGAAAAAATGAATTTGTCACACAGAGAGATGCAAAGAAAGCATGTTGGGGGCATCAAATCCCTGGGCCAGGACTCTGAGTTCCATGGAGCTGCTGTCATTCCTGCAGCTGCTCCGTCCTTTGTGTAAGCCACACCCCCCTCCCCCCATCCCTCCAATTAACCATCTTTTTTATTGAAATGCATTCAAGTTGGGTTTCTGTCTCTTGCAACCCAAAGAATCCTATTGCAGACATAATTTCTATATATGTCATACCAACTAAAAATGGCTTCAACGATGGGTTTATTATTAATTAAAAAATGTTACATTAATTTTTCTTATAATAAATCCAGAGGTAGCTTCTTACGGGTAGCTCAAGTTGTCAAAGACCTAGGTTGGTTTTGGACTTGTAACATCTTTGTGATTATGGATGATACTGGAACAAGTAGCTATAACTTGATAAAGTTAGTAAATAAACTGCTTTTAGTTATGGTTTAAGAATTCCTCCAAATCCTTGAACATATGTGTGATACAAGCATTAAATTGGAAAAAAATCTCTAAATCAAACTCAGTATATATAACCCATTTGATATGTCCTGGTATAGGGACAAAGAATACTTTTGTCACAAAGCAAACTGCTTCCGCCTGAAGCTTCATCTGGGCTCTGCTCTGTACATCCATAAGCTCCCAGCAGTACACTGACCCAGCCGCCTCACCCTCCTGGTTCTTAGGCTTACCAAAGCACCCCGTTGGTTTTTGCTTGACAAAGTGCCAATGGACCCAAAATGACTTTCTAAAATGTTTAGGTATGAAAATTTTAAACATTTGCAAAAGTAATTCATTTAATCATGGAACACTGCATCAAAAACTAATGATGTAATGTATGGTGGTTAACAATAAAAAAATTATTAAAAAAAAGTAATTCATTTAATAAATCCCCGTGAACCCATCACTCAGATTCTAGGTTTATCAAAATCTTGCTGCTGGGAAAAAACCCCAAATTCAGTTCTTGAAATATACACAATACTTCCGGGGATCTAACCAGGCTTTCCCTGGAAATAAAAGGGACTGGCTGAGTTCTGCCTTCAAGGGACAAGTCTGAATCTTATGTAGTCGGCAGCCTTCTATGGGCCTCAGCCCTTGAGCACCTTGTGGGTGGGAGGCCATGCATCTCTGTGGCATGCTTTATAGTTCTTTTTTTTCTCCCAGTTTTAAACATTTTAATTTTTTATTGATTTATAATTGATATACTAGATAGTGATTCGATATTTTTATACACTACAAAATGCTCACCAAAATAGGTCTAGTTACCATTTGTCCTCATACAAAATTATTACAATATTTAAAAAAAATTTTTTTAAAGTAATCTCTATACCCAACATGGGGCTCAAACTCATGACCCTGAGATCAAAAGTCACATGCTCTATTGACTGAGCCAGCCAGGTGCCCTAAAGTTACTACAATATTATTGACTATATTCTCTATGCCGTAAATGACATCCCTCTCACTTACTTAATTTATAACTGGAACTTTTTACCTCTTAATCCCCTTCACCTGTTTGCCCCCCCCCACCTCCCTCCCCTCTGGCCACCACCAGTTCATTCTCTGTATCTATGAGTCTGTTTCTGTTTTGTTCTGTTTCTTCATTTGTTTTGTTTTTTTAGACTCCACATAAAAGTGAAATCATATGGTATTTGTCTTTCTCTGACTTATTTTGCATAATACCCTCCAGGTCCATCCATGTTGTCGTGAGTGGCAAGATTTCATTCTTTTTTATGGCTGAGTAATATTCCATCGTGTGTACATACACACACACACACACGCCACCTCTTTATCCTTTCATCTTTTGATGAAAACTTAGCTTGCTTCTATATCTTGGCTATTGTAGATAATGCTGCAATGCACATAGGGGTGCATATATCTTTTCAAACCAGTGTTTTCATTTTCTTCAGTTAAATACCTAGAAGTAGAATTGCTGGGTCATATGATAGTTCTATTTTCAATTTTTTGAGGAACCCCCAACATACAGTTTTCCATGGTGGCTGCACTAACTTACATTCCCACCAACAGTGCACTTGGGTTCCCTTTTCTCCCTGCCAACACTTGTTATTTCTTGTCTTTTTGGTAATAACCATTCTGACATATGAGGTGATAGCTCACTGTGGTTTTGATTTGCATTTCCCTGATGATGAGTGATGTTGAGCATCTTTTCCTGTGCCTGTTGACCATCTGGATGTCTTCTTTGGAAAAATGCCTATTCAGGTACTCTGCCCATTTTTTAAAGGATTTTATTTATTTATTTGAGAGAGAGAGTATGAGTTGGGGGTTTGGGGGCAGAGGGAGATGGAGAGAGAGAATCTCAAGCAGACTCCGTGCTGAGCGCAGAGCCGGATGTGAGCATGATCTCACCACCCTGAGATCATGACCTGAGCTGAAATCAACAGTCGGATACTTAACAGACTGAGCCACCCAGGTGCCCCTCTGCCTATTTTTTAATAGGATCGTTTGCCTTCCTATTATTGAATTGTAAGAGTTCTTTATATATTTTGGATATCCACCCCTTGTCAAGTTTGTATCTTCTCCCATTCTGTAGGTTGCCTTTTTGTTTTGTTAATGGTTTCCTTTGCTGTGCAGAAGATTTTTCATTTGACATTTTCCCATCCGTTTATTTTTGCTTTTGTTGCCCTTGCCTGGAGAAACTGATCCGAAAGTGAACACAGCTCTCAAATGAAGTCATCCTTGCAGCTGTAACAGGGAACTGCCTGGCCACTGTCTCTACCGAGGGCCAAAGCGCCGAGACCACACACAGAGAACAGTGTGAAAATCCCGCAAAAGAATGAGTGGGACGAGAGGGTGAAGCTCTTAAGTGGGTGTTGACCCACCCAGACAAAACTGGAGGCCAGCTGCACTGAGCTGATCTTGAAGCTCCCACAGGGGGAGTTCAGGCCAGGAGCGTGTCTCTGAGCGAACCCGGGGCCTGGATCTAATCAGCAGGTTGGAAGAGAAATATACTGAAATGTCAGGCACAAATCAAAAGAGGGACTGCGGCAAAACGCTGCCTAGACACACACAAACACACACACACACACACACACACATAGGACATCCTTCCATCCTTCCAGGAAAGTCACTGTCCAAATCTCATGATGTA